GAAAATTATCTCAAGGTCACTCCATTTCACTTGTGTCGGTGAATCTCGCCAATATACCTTGGTACCAAATTTGAACAAAATCCATAATTTCTTTCTTGAGTTATCGCCCTAACAAGCTTATTTGATGTATGAAATGCAACGAAAAAACACACACCCGCGTATTTACGAGTGATTAAAACTGTTATTACAATTTACGTAAATATTTATTACATTTTACCGCAACGAAAATTATTACAATTTACGTCAATTTTTATTACAATTTGCGTATTACAATTTACGTCAATTTTTATTACAATTTACGTCAAGTTTATTACAATTTGCTGCAAGTACGTATTACAATTTGCGTTTTTATTGCAATTTACGTCGTAACAGGAGTCATTTGAACAAGTGATTGTAGTTTCAAATTGCCTTTTTGTGCAGTTTAATATCTAAGTTTGATTCTAGCCGACCTCTACCAATCTCAAACATACAAAAATGTTTCTTGCATATTTTGTTTCCTGAAGTTTAATTTGTGATGCATTTCATTGCTAGTCAGCTAGGCTATTCCATTTGTCCGAACCACAACATACGGAGACAGATCATTTAGCAGACCGGGTGCTGTACTCTGGAATTGATTACCTGAAAATGCCAGAAAATCGGAAAATATCAACAGTTTCCGATCGTGTCTCAAAACCATCCTCTTCAAACGAGCATTCGACTAAGCGCACATGAGCAGGACTCTGGTTATGTAGCGCTATACAAATGTCTAATTTGATTTGATTTGATATACCCGTTAGAAACCCACCCCCACCCCACCCCATTTTATATTTATACATATCAAAACCTCAAAAGATATTTGCGAAAAGACATGATACAGGGGACAGTCAGAGATTTTATATCGATTATATATCAGGACGAATATCATTTTCGTCATTTGGCTAACATTTGTCAATTCTTTCTTGGGTTATCGCGCTAACAATCTTTATATTGGCAAAACCCTCAGATTTTCGCTATGACCTTGAAAATTATCTCAAGGTCACTCCATTTCACTTGTGTCGGTGAATCTCGCCAATATACCTTGGTACCAAATTTGAACAAAATCCATAATTTCTTTCTTGAGTTATCGCCCCAACAAGCTTATTTGATGTATGAAATGCAACGAAAAACAAACACCCGCGTATTTAGGAGTGATTAAAACTGTTATTACAATTTACGTAAATATTTATTACATTTTACCGCAACGAAAATTATTACAATTTACGTCAATTTTTATTACAATTTGCGTATTACAATTTACGTCAATTTTTATTACAATTTACGTTTTTATTACAATTTACGTCAAGTTTATTACAATTTGCTGCAAGTATTACAATTTGCGTTTTTATTACAATTTACGTCGTAACACGCCTCTTACGACAAGCATAGGTGGTTACTGAAGACCAATTCCAACCCGGATCTTCGCGGGTTCACACGGAAACGTCGCATGTATTGCAATCAAGAAGTTGTCCTCTACCCGGGTCGGGTGGGTAATGAGTTGGACCCGGGTACCCGTCTCAGTACCCGGACCCGTTATGATCATGTGACTAATAGATTAAACAATGTATTATGTTATTTTTCCATGATTAAATGGTTATATTGTCTTTGAAGTTTTAGACATTTACAGTTTTGAATGTAATACATGCTTAAGATATTGAAAGAAAAAATTAGCCTCCAAGCTGAAGAATATATTGCCATTTCTTACAAATTTGGCGTCAGGAATTAACATATCGGGTATCCGGGTAGGGTAGGGTAATAGGGGGTGGGGTGCCCGGGTAGAACATTTGGACCCGTCCCAGCCCTACAATCTTTTAAACTTCAGGTGTATATGTACTTTGACTATTCCATTAGAACATAGCACTTTCCGCCATCTTTGTGGGCATGTAAAAATATTGCTTTAAAACATGTATGGGATAATCTAGCTATTTAGCACAGACTTCTGGAAAGATCTTAAATTGCGTCCTTAGCCAGAACAAATTTTCAAATTTCGAATTTATGTTTTGCCAGACAGCTTCTCAGGAAGCTCGTCTTTGTGTTTTCCTAACGCAATGGTAAACGACTTTTCAAAATTATATGACGTCACATTGTTGTCACGTTAAGGGGTTGGTGTAGAAAAGTGGTTAAGGCGTTAGATCGTCGTAGTTAGTTCCGAGTTCGATTCCACACATGAGGATTATGAGGTGAGGTGTAATAGAGTTTAACGTCTCACTTAAGAATATTTCGCTCATATAACGATGTGCATGCGTGTGTGTGTGCGTGTATGTGCGGTTGCTTGTACTAGCCCAGATTTCAGCTGGTTTTATAGTGCTAGCCCACTGAGATACCATGCCACAGTTAAGCATGAATGCCTCACTCAGACACATTATACTGACTCTGAGCCGACCAGTCCTTGTTGTACCCATTATTGCCGAGCGTCAGGCAGGGACCACCAAGTACCATATTTTAACGTCTTTTGATATGACACGGCCAGGGATCGAACCCGCGACCTTCCGCTCTCCGGGCGGACGCTCTAACCACTACACCACGGAGACGGTTGAGTACATTTTGAGTGAAGCCCATTTCTTGTGTACTACGCAACGATCTTGTTGGACTGTTGCTAAAAGCGGCGTAAAACTGTAATCACTTAAGTGTTGTCCTTATGTAATATTCCCAGAAATAAGGAACAATAAATATTGTGAATCAATACTACATTGTGACGAGGACATTGATAAAATACTCTTGTTAAAATACGCTGTATAAGAAGAATCGATAAATAATTCAATACGGGTGTAATATGCAAAAGTCTTGATGCAATACAAGACCTGAAAACCCGTGATGATCTGCCAAGGAACTTGGTCTTCAGCAACCCATGCTTGTCAAAAGAGGCGACTAACGGGATCGGATGGTCAGGCCCGCTGACTTGGTTGACACCTGTCATCATATCCCAATTGTGTAGATCGAAGGTCATGATGTTGATCACTGGATTGTCATGTTCAGAGTCGATTATTAAAGACAGCAGTCATTATAGCTGTGATATTGAGGAGTGCGGCGTTAAACAGCAAGAAAAACATAACCTCAAGCTATCCATCCTAATCCATATTTGAAAACATTCTCTACACTAAATGTTTAATGAGAGACATCAGTATCAGTTCAATATTTTCATTTCTAATGCAATATGCCTCATTCGTTATCACCTAGCATAATCACTGATCGATACGTTGATCCACTTGACGTCACTATATTCTTTGATTCCACACATGGCAGCCTCGTGGCATCAATGGTTAACTGCGTAGTTTTAGAATAAACAAGAATGCGTCGTTTATTTGAGAATTATTACAGTGACAACGTAAAGACTGATAGACAACTCTTGATTTCAAGTAAGGCCTTTTATCGACGGGTATTTCTGGCAAGAATATTGGCCATTAGCGACTAAACGGATCAGGATGAGGTGGTCCAGACTCCGCGCCTTTGTTAGTTGCATGTTATTGCATTGCCGCACTCAGATCAACACATAGGGGTTCGAATCACTGTTTGGACAGCAATTTTTAAATATAACAATCTAGACTTTTGCAATCGCATATTGTTTATATATGTAATGATTAACATATATTTCAGATTTGAACGAAATCGGTGAGGACTTGAATATTATATAAAATTCTACCGCTACACTCATTACATAAAATACACAAATTATTGTCCAAACAGTGATTCGAAGCCTTGTGGATCAACAGCATGAGTACATGAGTATCAATCTGCGCAATTAAGATACGATGACATCTGTCAACCAAGTCAGCGACCCTGACCACCTGATCCCGTATTCGCCTCTTACGACAAGCATGGGTTACTGAAGATCAATTTTAACAATAGGCTGCTGCACCAATTCTTGGTTTGTTTGTTGTTGTTGTTGTTTTTTTGTGTGTGTTGTTTGTTTTTGTTTGTTTGTGTTTTGGGTGTTTTTTTGGTTGTTTTTGTTTTTGTTTTGTTTGTTGTTGTTTTTGTTTGTTGTTGTTGTCGTTTTTTGGGGGGGTTGTTGTTTTTGTTTGTTGTTTTTTGCACAATCAAGATTTCTACATTCAACAGGAATCCATCAACGTCAGTTAACTTCAGGGACTGTTATATCTGCAATTGTTCTTAAAAATTAGGAGTTGATGTCAAGATCACAAGATACAATGGTTTTCGTTATGTTGAACGGGTGATAATTTGGAATGAGGAGATGGAATCTAGGGCAGTTATACCAACTACTAAGTATTAGAACAAAGGTAAGTGTCGACGACTCATCATATGCCAAAAGGTGTATATGTGTAAACAGTACACGCACATATACGCATGTCCACAGGCACACACGTAGATGCTCGTCACAATACTAGTGAACTCGCCTTACAGGTGACGTCAGATTGTATTTCACCGCACTCCTCTCGTATACATGTAGTCTATATTTAAGTGTTGAAAGTAGGTTACCTACTTGTATTTCTACTTAGTCACCTCACCAGATAGCATATGTTGTATAAAGCCATGCCGTAAATGTTCTAATAACCGAGTCTCTCATTTACACCTGTTACGTTCTAAGCGCTCGAGGACCTGTCATTACAACAGCAAACATTGTATTTCAGATTGTATTTCTAAAATTTGGTACATGCCTAACATAAATCACGTTTTCATTTTGAAGATTCATAAAGTGAAATATGGGTTTAATTTGTCTCCCTATGTACAGATTTATGATTTTTGAATTTTAAATATATATCTTCATTCCCTAAAGAAAAGCGAAGCAATTTGAAAGTGACAAAAATAGTATAAGCTCGCACTTGCTTGGTCTGGACAAATAGTTTGATGACGTCATCGATATTTTATTGACCAGTCGGTAAATCAGGTAATCCATATTTTCACTGATGTAATCAATTTCGCTCATCTACGCGGGTCAGGTTTACGTTAGAGTATATTTAGGCCTTTTATCGGAGCATGTCCGGTATACTACCCGGACACGGAAACGTAACACACGGTCCCCTCGTTGTAACGCTATCACGTGATTGTGGCACCTGGGTGTCGTCGTTGAACACTCTCGGAAATTTTACTAGAACTTGTAGACTGGACACCATGGAAACGGAGAGAGGGTGTCGGGGAGTCAACCTCATCAAAGGAGTCGGTGATGTCGTAATAACGCTACTCAGTAAGTGTCAGCACCTGTACTGCTTGTATTAACACTTATAAAGCGAGTTGGTATATAATACTAACCCAGTTTAATCGTGAAGGATATGGGTTTCACGTGAAGCGCACACACACGGTCACCCGTACACACACACATATATAAATCTCTCTCTCTCTCTCTCTCTCTCTCTCTCTCTCTCTCTCTCTCTCTCTCTCTCTCTCTCTCTCTCTCTCTCTCTCTCTCTCTCTCTGTGTCTGTGTGTCTGTGTGTACGCACACATGGATGGATGGATGTTCCAGCAATATCACGGCGGCGGAAGTGGGCTTCACACATCCTACACACATTCAAAAAGAAATACACGCAGGAGAGGTAAGGAATTAGTATATTTATTCAGAATATACTGCACAGGATATGTTACTGTGTATTTTGTTAGATACAGAATCGGTATATTAGTACATCATGATTATATACTCTCGCAGTCTACAGTCATGTAAATGAATTTACCGAAATGTTCCTGGGCGCTTTACCTGTGAAGATTCGGGTTAGAACTGGCCTTCAATAACCCATGCTTGTCGTTAGACGGGATCGGGCGGTGAGACTCACTGACTTGGTTGACACATGACACATGCGTAGATAGATGCCCATGATATTGATCACTGTATTGTCAGGTCCAGACTCGATTATTTACAGACCACCTACACATAGTTGGAATATTGCTGAGTGCAGCGTTAAACAACAAATCATCCAACCAACCAACCTGGGTGCTCTTTTCTTTCAGTGATGTTGGTGCTCGGCCTCTTTGAATGGTATGGTGTTCCGTTCCGGCAAGGATTTTTCTGCGACGATGACACGATCAAGTACCCGTACAGACCAAACTCCATATCAGTCACACTGTTATTAATAGTGTCGATAGTCATACCTCTGGCGGTGGTAAGTATCAGGGCAATCTCCTGGGCCTAGATTTTCGAAGCTCTGTTAACGCTAAGATAGTCGTAAGTACCATACATTAACATTAACTTACGACTATCTTAGAGCTAAGAGAGCTTCGAAAATCTTGGCCCTGGGCATTTCAGCTACCTTTTGTCTGTAAGTGACAATAACCGGTGTCTCACCAACAAGCCGTTGTAGGCTACGTTGTGTCTGTAGACGACAAGCGTTGAGTAACCAACAAACTGGTATAGGCTACCTTGTTTCTTTAAACAAAAAGCCATTGACTAACGACTAAACTGGTACAAGCTATATTGTTTCTGTAAACGACAGGCCGTTGACTACCCAACAAGCCGGTATAGGCTACCTTGTTTCTGTAAACGACAGGCCGTTGACTACCCAACAAGCCGGTATAGGCTACCTTGTTTCTGTAAACGACAAGCGTTGACTACCCAACAAGCCGGTATAGGCTACCTTGTTTCTGTAAACGACAAGCGTTGACTACCCAACAAGCCGGTATAGGCTACCTTGTTTCTGTAAACGACAGGCCGTTGACTACCCAACAAGCCGGTATAGGCTACCTTGTTTCTGTAAACGACAGGCCGTTGACTACCCAACAAGCCGGTATAGGCTACCTTGTTTCTGTAAACGACAAGCGTTGACTACCCAACAAGCCGGTATAGGCTACCTTGTTTCTGTAAACGACAGGCCGTTGACTACCAAACAAGCCGGTATAGGCTACCTTGTTTCTGTAAACGACAGGCCGTTGACTACCCAACAAGCCGGTATAGGCTACCTTGTTTCTGTAAACGACAAGGCCGTTGACTACCCAACGAAGCCGTTGTAGGCTACGTTGTTTGTCTGTAAACGACAAGCGTTGACTACCCAACAAGCCGGTATAGGCTACCTTGTTTCTGTAAACGACAGGCCGTTGACTACCCAACAAGCCGGTATAGGCTACCTTGTTTCTGTAAACGACAAGCGTTGACTACCCAACAAGCCGGTATAGGCTACCTTGTTTCTGTAAACGACAAGGCCATTGACTACCCAACAAGCCGGTATAGGCTACCTTGTTTCTGTAAACGACAGGCCGTTGACTACCCAACAAGCCGGTATAGGCTACCTTGTTTCTGTAAACGACAGGCCGTTGACTACCCAACAAGCCGGTATAGGCTACCTTGTTTCTGTAAACTACCTTGTTGACTGTAAACAACAGGCTACCTTGTTTCTGTAGAGGCTACCCAACAAGCCGGTATAGGCTACCTTGTTTCTGTAAACGACACTTTGATTCTCAACAAGCCGGTATAGGCTGCCTTGTTTCTGTAAACAACAGGCCGTAAAGGCACAAGAGAGAAACACTTTGATTCTCAAGAAATGACATTATCGATCCTGTGATCAATTTTGATGACATAATTGAATGTTATCGAACCCCGACATCTCGAGACATTATTCATCATAACATTCAGTGTCTTTAATCCAAGAATCGATTATTCACAGGCCATTGTCGTGTTTCTGGAAGCATTTGGAGACGTTGAAAAACAGACACTAATGAACTGCCGGGCAACATAATGTATACAAAGGAAATGGTTATTCGATGATACGGACATATTGTGTTTAGGACATACCTCGTGTTTGTGGTGTTTTGGAGACGGCATAAGAAAGGTTTGGATAACGTTTGCAATTGTATGGTCGAAACCATTTTAAGTGTATGCTTTCTGTAGCCACACGTGCGCACACGCGCACGCACCTCGCCTATAAGTGTAGTAATATTGGCTGCTGCTTTATACCCCATTTCCCCTCCCTTGATCACTCAGCAGCAAATGGGTACCCGGTGGGATAAGTCATGTAGCTATTAACCTTTTAGTGCCTCACAGGTAGCTTGGGTTATCCGGGGTAATAATAATCCAGCGCTTTGAGCAAGATATTCATCACGGAATGGCGCTGTAAAAGTGAACTATTATTATTATTATTATTACTATTATTATTGGTGGCATGGTGGGCGAGCTCTCTAAGGCACCAGGCTAGTGATCTAGCGAGATTGAGGTGCCGGGGTCGAGCCCATCTGTGACCGGGTGTAAAAACTTTGGAGTCAACTTTGTGTGCAGACTCTTTCAGTGTTGTCACAACTCGTAGTGTACAGTACACAACCAAGTGCACTTAAAAGAACCCACGAATCCGTGGGCCACATGAATACGTGCAAACACCTTGTTGTGGGTATAGCAACGTGCAGTAAACGTGGACAAAGTGCTGTGACTATGTGTCCCAGTCCACCATGCTGTGAATGGGTACCTCATATGGATGAGAAAGCCGCAAGAACTCGGTGCGCCAGCAGGAGTTGTATGTTCCCCAGGGAGCTGAGATTGATGATACGATGTACCGTTTAGATTGACCAATGGTCGAGTAAGAAAATACCAGCGACTTGAACATGTACTAGTTGCGTGGATATGTGCGCTATATAAATATCCTATAATATTATTATTACCTCATTTCTCAAATTTTGCTCGTTCACAGATGGCCACATGGGATGTTGTTTTTAAAGTCTATAAACTACGTGGTTCCCTCACCTGCCGGGTGGCGTGGAGGAGAGTCTACGACGCCGTCCTTGTGTTCCTGTTCGGCGCAGCTCTCACGCTGTTCATCACCGACATCGGCAAGTACAGCATCGGGCGTCTCAGACCTCACTTCATTGCTGTATGTCAGCCCGACCTGAACACCGCCTGTACAGAGGGATACGCCCAGGATGATGTTTGTAAAGGGTCCGACGTTAAGGCCATTGCGGAAGCAAGGTTAATATCACATCTAGCTAGTATGTTAACCCTTCAGTACTTGGATTCGGGTGCCAATGGTTATACGTTACAGCTTCTTTGATGACGCTCTGAACATAATGGAGCCACCTTCAGGAACCAGGGAGTGAAATCATGAGTGATGTTCCACTGCCTCAGAGGATCCTGTGTTCAACGCACAGGTCAGAAATGTGGCGTATCTAAAACAACTCCAGTGGCGAGGTGTAGACTCTCTGGATGTTCAGCACCTCGATGAGGGTTTCTAGGGCTTCGGTCGTGCCACGCTCCCAAGAACATGCCTCTTAACAGTTCACGGTGGCACCCCATTAGTCTTACGACCCATTAGTCATACGCCTTGAATAAACACGTCATGGTTAACTGGGTTTACATATGAACCCTTAGTACCTGTATAGGTAATGGAATGACCCAGTGCTTCTGATTTTATTATCTTATTTTACACCATACAGTCAGTTAGTTGATATATAACAGTACTTCTACAGTACTTCTGATTTTAAATCAGGCAATATCATGTTTATTTCAGACCTCTTTCTATTTCAGACTTTCTTTTCCTTCAGGCCATGCATCAATTTCTTTCTTCGGAATGACGTACTTCGCGGTACGTACGTACGTATAAATAAATATATATATATATATATATTATGTATATATATATATGTATATGTGTATATATAAATTGTGTGTGTGAATTATGTATATGTGTATATATAAAGAAAGTGGTGAGATTACCGAGTGCACAGTAGTACATACATGAGTAGTAATTTCTGAAATAATTACACGACACCGATCTTCTCCAACACGGTTCAATTTTATCTTCAGGGATCACTTGGAGAAGATCCGTGTCGTGTAATTATTTCAGAAATTACTTCTTATCTAAAAAACATTCATTAAACTTGATTATAATCATATGTTATTCATTGTTGATATGCTTATGATAGCAATACACAACAAGCCGGCGTTAAAAAACAAACCATCCAACCAACAGTATTATAAACCTACAGGTATTCCTTTACGCCCGGTTACCTAAATCCGGACCTCGTCTCCTCAAACCGTTTGCCATGGCTCTTGTGCTGAGCGTGGCGTTCTACATCTCCCTGTCACGTGTCTTCGACTACTGGCACCATCCTGGTGACGTCCTATTTGGCTCTCTTCTTGGGGTGTCTGTTGCTGTGCCTTTGGTAAGTCTATGTGGATCTATGAAGTAGCCTTGTGCATCTTCGGTAATTTTCTTTCAACGTAAAATAATATCAGTTGATTGGATTTTTAATCCTTAACTGCATTGTACTGGATGTGTTTGAATGTAAGTAAGTTTTATTATTTCCTTAAATAATTCGGAAATTAAAAATCTTTTGAGCTATTGAGATCAGTTAAGTTGAAGTTAAGAACAACATGGCCGCTCTTTATCACTACTTCCTGTTTGTCAATAAAATTAGAACCTTAGCGCTAGTGAAAATGTATCGGTCATCAGCCGAAGAAATTTCTATTTGGCACAAAAAGGCAAAACAGATATGAAAAGAATGTAAATGAATGATTGAAAATCAGTGGCCTGGGTCTTCTTGTCCAAAGTGATATCAGTGCCCCGGCGATCGTAACTACCATATGTTAACACGGATAGTCATAGCGGTGAGATCACGTACTGTTGTCGCGAACATCTGCGCCCATAAGTACACTGATGTCTTAGACTAACGCTATGTCTCTTAATATATATAGCTTTGATAAAACTGAATAATTCATTTAAACTGAAAAGAAGCCCCAGTGAGATGGGAGATTCAAACCTGAAACTGGGGAAATCTAGACTTGCTTTATTTAGAGTTTTATCATGCAGAAACGGTTGGGCAGATGGGAAAATAATTCGATTCGGGGACTGTGAGACAGACAAACTACTATCTGAACGCTGTGACTGTCGTCGTTGTATGTTAAAGTTATATGAATTACGGTCGTCGTAGCCTCGTAGCCCAGGTAGTTGCGAGAATGGCAAGCAAGAAATCCCTTTAGTAGCCTTCTCAAAACGCAGACAGTTTACGATACATGTTTGTGTTACTGTAGAGCGTCTTTGTTGCGAAGCTGCGACCGCCGTCCACTACAACCAACAACAAAGATGCTGTTGACAGACCTACAATTGCAACCGTCACATGAAGAGTGAGCCGAGGCAAACTGCGATGAAGACTGGAAGTGTTTAAGAATGAATCTGTATACATACATGACGTCAACGTCAGAAGACGTTAGAACATTGATCCACTGAAACGTTCCATTGGGCGTTACACCCGTGACAGGAAACAAGGGCGAATAGTATATAAATATATCACTGATAATGTGAGATTACATCAGGTGTTCACTGAATAGACGTTTTGAAAGCTCACTGCATGTTTTTATATATGGTGATATATACATGTCATCATTATATAGTCTCTCATCTGTGAGCTAAACGGTATGAAGGCCCGTGAATCATTTTTCAAAGCTTGCTCTTTGTCCTCCGTTGGCACTGATACTGTTAGTCCGTAACAAACATTCCGGCTTAGACAAGAGGAAGTATATACCTGACCCTTTTTAATCCAGACTGTACATCCATAGAACTGACATATATTGAAAATATCAAAATACATTGATCTCACTGAAACCATTTCAAGTTACCACTACTATTATAATAAACAATATGTATGTTTCTTTGAATTGCGTATATTTAAAAGCTTCAGTGTTGGACTGAAACTGTTATTTACATATACCACGGTATTATCGTAATTACCCCCACATGTTGTAGCATTTACCCAGTACGTAGACAGTGGAAGCACGTTAATATTCTTCCCATTTACATATTCAAAGGTCATCTCCACTAGCTTACTAAATATACATTCAGTTATTCACGTAAAAAGAGAACGGTTTACGTCTCCTAAAAATAGAGGGGCTACGCGGAATACCATATCCGGTCTGCGTTTGTATTTAAAGAGAGAGTTTGTTCTACGGTCTGCAGGCAAATGCCAATCCAGATTCATAGCATGGAAAGGTTATCTGTGTGGAACTAGGTCAGAGGGGTAGCCTGTTGGTTAAAGCGTTAACTCGTCACGCAGAAGACCCGGGTTCGATTCCCCATGGGTATAATGTATGAAGCCCATTCCTGGTGTCCCCCGCCGTGATATTGCTGGAATATTGCTAAAAGCGGCGTAAAACGAAACTCACTCACTCACTCACCATAAGAGTATCAAGCAGATGTCGTCAGGTGTAGGTCTAAGTCACGCTGCATATAGAAAGTTTAACATGAAACAGTAGGTTGCAAACTAAGTACATTAAGTATATGTATCTTTTATTACATCAACAGTGACTACATACTTCTGGTCTGTCTTTCCATGAGATTTGCAGCGATTAACTAATATTTCCCAATTGAGATGCACCATTACAGTTAGGCTTAATCTGTTACTTCTACTAGGCAACTTCCGTCGCCATTTCAACTTTAATTGTTTCATCCGGGGCTCCCTCACCCTTTGTTTCCTCGGTGGGATCACCTGTCACTTCCGGTGTCTCTTCAACGGTTGGATCATCTTTCTCTTCAGCTATTTCTTCCTCGGGGGGGTCCACTTTTACTTCCGGTATCTCTCCCGGGTACTCCGGATTTTCCTCCCCAGCCTGCGCCTCACACATATACACGGGGCGGACTTTGAAAAACTGAAATAATAGTGATTGTACGAACATTGTTATTTCCTTGTGAACATTTTTATTTAATCCCGTGAATGCATTTTCATCGGAGTGTGGGTGAGTTGGGTTTAACACGTCTGTGAAATTTCAGTGACAAAATACAAGGGAGAACACTCTTTTCATAATCATATAAAATCTTTGCTAACCAATCCTGTCATATCGTAAGCACATGTCCATGAATTACTGTCGAATGGTGATTTTGATCTGTGAAAGCATTTTACTTGGTAAGTGAGTAAGCTGGGTTTAACACGCCTATGAACAGAATTTCAACAGGACATTTAAGCGATAAAACCTGTAATGGCGTCTATAATCGTAAGAAACGCTTGATGAAAGTAGAACCATTGCACAAATCCCATCATACCATAAGCACGAACTATGTTAGCTTTTATTTCATAAGGTGTCATTGATGAAACAGTCCTAACACGCGAATCTGTTAATCTTTGTCCAATGGGCATGTTCGATTATGGTGAGAGGAACGTTTTTATCTGTTTATCAGACTCCAATGGGGTGTTAATGCTTCTTGCGTATAGTTATACCCTCTGTAATTGAGTATTCATTGTGTGTTTCTACAGCTGAAACTTTTGGGGTGGTTTCGTGGATACTGAATTGCGTTACATTCGAGAATGAAAGAGAAACTAGTTTCACTGCTTCAAGTGACAACTCACCACCAACACGGCAATGCTGAGCCCCAGGACGTCTCCAGCCACGATGTCTTCCCAGTGGTGCAGGTGGTCATACAGACGGCTGAGACCGCAGCACAGCGCCATGTAGAACAAGGTGAGCTGCAGTACCGGCCGGAGGAGTGGACAGCTGGACCAGGTCAGGCGTCTTTGCAGGTACAGCTGAACAAAGAGATGGAAACCATGGCATGGCGGAGGGACGTTTAACTTTGTTCTGGTGACAAACATCATTCCTGGGCCATTCCAATTGAATACAAAAGGAAACAATGTGTGCGTGAGTGAGTGAGTTTAGTTTTGCGTCGCACTCAGCAATATTCCAGCTATATGGCGGCGGTCTGTAAATAATCGAGTCTGGACCAGACAATCCAGTGATCAACAGCATGAGCATCGATCTGCGCAATTGGGAACCGATGACATGTGTCAACCAAGTCAGCGAGCCTGACCACCCGATCATGTTAGTCGCCTCTTACAACAAGCATAGTCGCCTTTTGTGGCAAGCATGGGCTGCTGAAGACCTATTCTACCCCGGATCTTCACGGGTCGGAAACAATGTGTGTGTGAGTTTAGTTTTACGACGCATTTAGCAATATTCTACAACATCACGGTGGGGACGCCCTAAATTACCTTCACACATTGTATTCATATGCATGTGGGAAATCGAACCCGAGGCCTTCGATACGACGAGAAAACGCCTTAACCACTAAGCTACCTCGCTGCTCAAAAGGGAAAAAGAAGAAAAGTACACAGAAACAGTACCTATGATCCAGGGCTTGTTTTCGAGGGACGTTAACAGTTTTGAGAAAACTCAGTTTACATATCTTTAATTTCCATCATGAGTGCCATTGTGATTTTCACTCGTGAACAAATTCTGGTTCAGTGCATAATTTCTTTGGTTAAAATTGAAAGGCATCAATGACTCTCTGTATCTGAAGAGAGGCAAAAGTACTCACGATGAGGAAGACCATGAAATACATAGAGAGCGAGGCGTGACCAGACGGGAAGGACACCCTGTGAAACAACACAAACCCGTGGATAACACGGACCACATTAATATCAACAAGGGGATAGTTTCTTTGATTGGCATTCTAGAAGTTGAGGAGATGAAGAATGGGGACAATTTTAATTTATGGATATACAACGTCTTTATTCTGTATATGCGACGTTTCGACATAGATTCAAATGTCGTTGTCAAGCAAGTGATACATGGGAAGTAATTTGGGTGATTATATACATTATAAAATAGATGAGGGATGAGGCGAAAATGAGTTGTTTATATAATAGAGTGAGTGAGTATGGTTTGTACGCCGCCTTTAGCAATATTCCAGCAATATCATGGCGGGGGACACCATTGTACCCATGTGGGGAATCGAACCCGGGACTTCGGCATGACGAGCGAACGCTTTAACCACCAGGCTAGCCCACCGCCCCGTTTATATAATAGAGCGGATTGATAACACAGAAGGTGTACAGGATTAAATAGGTTGATTGGAAGCCAGTTGAGAGGATGTACATAGGCTGCATACATAAGCGATTAAGGATGTTGATTGGCAGCCAGTAGGGCATGATGTACATAGGTTGTTTACACAGGGGATTAAGGAGGTTGTTGGGAAGCCAATAGTGTAGTGATATTACACATGGTATAATGTACAGAGGTTAAGTGAAGTTACAGGGAATTAATTCAGCAAGTGATGATATTATTCCTCTCTGTTAATAGCAGGGCAAATCTTCTTTATGTGGAGAGCTACTACTTCTTCAGTTCTAGATACAACTGCCGTTCCGGTGCAGATACTGATACCGTTATCAAGCCAGTAATGTCTTGTGATATAGAAAGTAATATACCGTTTCCTTTTGTGAAGAGCTTGGCCCAAAAATGCTGTCCAACATGTGCGAATCTGATACCGATCAATCGCTCCAATTGATACTTAACAACCCTTGTGAAGAGCATAACATCTTCCTCTAAAGCTGTGCAGATACTGATACCGTTATCACCAGTAATGAATGTATGAAATCTCATTATGATATCTCTTTACTGTGAACGTAAACCGTTATAGGTTAACAAAGTCACTGTAATATTTTAATCAAATTTTGTGAAAATACCCGTTATCCCAAATGTCCATAAATTACCTATTGAAACATGTGCAGATACTGGTCGCTGGGAAAAAGTATTCCGTTATCTCAATGTCTTGTGAAGAGCAGAAACGATTCAGATACTGTCCGTCATGTCCATGTGCAGATCCCAACTCGTCTTGGAGATGAGTTTACATCGAGCCACCAATTTATTTCAATGTAATAAATTTACTGCTTCCAGAAATATGTATTTAAAGAATTATTATATCGTAAACAACCAGATACTAACTTATTATAAAGCATGTCATACTCATACCCTATTTGTCTTGTGAAGAATGTGCAGATACTCGATACCGTTATCGAGCCAGTAATGTCTTGTGAAGACTCATAATATGGAAGAGCAAGCAATTAATGTCTTGTGAAGAGAAATCTATGTAAATGTCTATTTCAGATACTGATTATAATGTCTTGTCAAGAGCATGCGACATGATTTTTAGAGCCACCAATGTCTTGTGAAGAGCATTTACCTGTACATAATTGCTGGATTTGTTTCAAGCCATAGCCAGATAAATCGAGCCACCAATGTGATATTTTTTGTCTTGTGAAATACCGATACCCCATGATGCTTTGCATGTAATGTTTGTAAACTCATGATACCGTTATCGAGCCAGTAATGTCTTGTGAAGAGCATGTGCAGATACTGATACCGTTATCGAGCCAGTAATGTCTTGTGAAGAGCATGTGCAGATACTGATACCGTTATCGAGCCAGTACGTGATACCGATACTGATACCGTTAGCCAGTAATGTCTTGTGAAGAGCAAGTGATACTGATACTGATCGACCAGTAATGTCTTGTGAAGAGCAAGTGCAGATACTGATACCGTTATCGAGCCAGTAATGTCTTGTGAAGAGCATGTGCAGATCACTTGCTTGGCGACATTGTTTGTATCACACCAATACCTAGCATTCATTGTAATAACAGAAGTTGTATATCCGTAAAACTAGTTCCTTTGTTCACAAAACAACTTCTAAATACCTCTTTGAGACGTTAACATGTGACATGCATATTTCTAATGCCTTTGTTTGTTTGTTGTTTAACACCGCACTCAGCAATATCCCAGCTATATGGCAGCGGTCTTTGAATAATCGAGTTTTGACCAGTCAGTCCAGTGATCAACAGCATGAGTATCGATCTACGCAATTAGGATACGATGAAAACCGAGTCAGCTTGCATATAGACTAAAAACTAGTCTCTGAAATTAAAAATTTACAGAAAAAAGGCTCATAGTGAAAAAATTCAAAATATAATAAAAATGAGCCCTGAGACTTTCTTCATTTTCAGCTGAAGCTGTGGAAATCTAGACTTGTCACATTTTCTAGACTTGCGTGGGATTTCTTGGATATGTTTGCTTCAGGGTCTGTGTGACAGACTAGCTTGCATACTACGAAGCGTGATGATCCCCTTACCAAGTATCTGTAGGTTTAAGTTACAACCAATCAAGGATGTGTTGTCTAATATCATTGTAAACACCGGGGTTCGAATTAAATACTGCTCGTGTTATTGATTGTTAGAAATGATATATGTTTCCGGAATAATGTATTTACCTGGTCTTGTCAATAAGTTTGGTGTTGGTCTCTGTGCAAATATTCTTCGTGATATACCCGCCATTACTACAGTCAACCATCGACCAATCAGGTTTGCAGACATCAAAGAAATTTGGACGAAGTCGGCCAATCACAAACTTCGGTACATTTGTGGTCAGGTGGGTAACCGCGCCTCCAAAGAAGAAAGGAACAATGGCTTCAAAAGACTTCAGTATCATCGACCCCCAGCGGTTGCTCCCTTTCTCCTGCTTGTAAATTATGAAGGATTCCGCCAGGATCATCTGAAACAGACGCCAGAATACTTTCACATAAGTGGTCTCTCTAAACTATTTGAGGTATTTCCTTGTTGGGGGTCGGGGTTAGCACTGGTCCTCGGGTACTGAGCTTGTCAAAAAGTGTGCACTGTAGTGTGCGCGCGAGTGGTCATTTCACACAGTGGTTTAGTGTTAAGAGTGGTTTAAAGCAAGGATGCACGTGCCTTCTATCGCCGCTTCTTTTTAATCTATACATCGACGATCTTACTGAGGCTGTGAATGAGTGAGTAAGTGAGCACAGACGGATCAAGAGGGGTGCTGGGGTCCTGAAAGTTTATTAAATGACCATTGAAACTCTCGCGAAAATGCAGTGTGCACCCCAACTTTCTCAAGAGTGTGCACCCCCACCCACCACCCACCCCCCTTCGCGAAAAGTTGTATCCGCCCCTGAGTGAGTATGGTTTTTCGCCGCTTTTAGCAATATTCCAGCACGGCGGGGGACACCAGAAATGGGCTTCACACATTGTACCCATGTGGGGAATCGAACCTGGGTCTTCGGCGTGACGAGCGAACGCTCTAACCACTTGGCTACCCCACCGCCCCAGGCTATGAATGAACTCTCTATTTGGGGTTAATATAGATGTAAAGTGTGTGAGTATCCTCGCCTGGAACGATATGAACATACTGCTGGACTGTCTTAACACATGGTGCAATAGGAACAGATTGACAACATCAAAGTCGAAGGTGGTGCATTTTAAAAGCCCGACCTGTGAACGAACGACACTCCCTTTTATGTGCGGATCTACACCTACTGATATTATCTCGAGTTACAGTTATCTGGGACTACTACGTGTCATTTTTTAGGTGACTTTTTGGGTGATGTTTGTACTTATTTGTAATAATTTGTTTTCAAGCGTATAACTAGGTCGGAAGTTTAACTTACTTCTGCGAATATCCGTATTCTGTTCACAAATATGACTTTGATTTGCAATAACATAAGCATGCGACAGAACTCTTTTACACCAAGATAAGTCCACTCTAAGACGATCTTACCACAACAGCCGGCAGTCCGAAGCCGATCCCATATAAGACAGCGTTAGGGACGGATGCTCCTGCCTTGTAGGGCTGCTGCAGGCGGGGGTCGTGGCACTGGAAGCCCTGGTGGACCGGCGTCGCCATCTTGCTGAAGGTGATTGTTATTATAGCGACTGAAATGAGGGAATTATGCGGTAAAAACTGTACTGGATTGGACATTTGAAGGTGTTAGGCCAGACTTGGGGATTTGATGAAAGATACATGCAAGGTTTTACGATGAAGCTGTCTTAGTTCCGACCCAGATAGTTCAGAACGACGAACAACTAAAAAGATTAGAAGCAATGTTACTGTGTACCCATTATTAGCATCTCGCGACGCCTGGGCAGCGACGCTATACGACGATCGTCACCACATTTAGATAGACAGATTCACAGTCCATGAACCGCTTTATTTTGCTTTCTCCCCAAGCCCTACTGCAGTGCTCAAAGATCTATATGAAGCAAGTCTAGATTACCCCAGGTTCAGGAATCTCCCCTTTCATTGGGTCTCCTTTTCGATTTAAATGGAATTATTGTTTTCTGTCAAAATTATGTATTCATAGACTAAGCGTTAGTCAAGACATTAGTTACTGTGGGTGATTTTACAAGGAACGGTACAATCCGGGGTTAAAGGTGTGAGTGGTTTGGGATGGGGTCGGAGAGGGGTGTGAGTGTTGAAATAAGGTTTAACGTCGCTCATGTGAAAACTCAATTCCTATTAAGTCTGTTGCGTACAAGTACGCTTGAATTTTGGTAAATACTCAGTAAATGTGATCTCACATGCGTATACAAAAATGTCCAATCTTAGGTTGCGTACGGGTGGATAGATAAAATACCTGAGGTATACTGAGAGGTTCTATTTCAGGACATGAACTTGACAACTTTCAGTCTTTCTTATCGTTTCTCATATTACAGATAAAATATGAATAACAAACACTAACATTTAAACTTTATTACATTTTTAAAATCAATGGAAAATGGCAAAATACCCAATTGAGTTTGAGTGAGGTGAGTACAATTGATTTGGTTATTCAAAGGAAAATTAGAATACCCAATTAAGATGAACACAAGCGAGTGCATAACTCAATGAGCCAAAATGTTATCTGTAGCTCTGCTAGTTGTCAAACCGTCCACTCGTCACGCCGAAGACAGGGGTTCGATCCCCCACATGGGAACAATGTGTGAAGCCCCTTTCTGATGACCCCATCTGGAATATTACTAAAAGCCGCGTAAAACCAAATTCACTCACTCACTTTCTCGCTCTATTATACAACAGTGATGTCCGCAGGGAGGTGGTGTGGAGAAAGCTCGGCGCTGTTCAAGGCTGCTAACGGCAGTAGCTGATGTTTTTAAAATTGTTATTTAATCACTTTTCTACACTAACCATGCTCTTGCTTACACATAGCAGGTGAGGTGAGGTGAAATGGGGTTTAAAGTCGTACTTAAGAATTTTTCGCGTGCATGCGTGTGTATGTACATGTGTGGCTGCTTGTACTAGCCCAGACTACAGCTGCATTTATATAGTGCTAGCCCACTGAGATACCATGCGGCAGTGAAGCATGAATACCCCACTCAGACACATTATACTGACTCCGAGTCGACCAGTCCTTGTGTGTACCCATTAATGCCAAGCGCCAGGCGGGACCAATAAGTACCATATATATTTGGTATGACGGGGCCGGGGATCGAACCCGCGACTTTCCGCTCTAGCCACTACACCACAGCGGCGGTCTACACATTGCAGGCGTAAGAATTCACTTATAATTACGAATAGCTAGTGTACCGGTTCGACAGGCCTATTTTCACGTAACATGTGAGTGGATATCGTTTTAAGCATCACTGCAGCCATATCAACGCCGGGTCACTTAACCTCATTATATAACGAGATTTTGGTGCTCGCTCCACAACACACAGATCTGAGGACATCCAATTTCTGCTCACGTTAGGACTATTTGTCAACTTTAATCGGCCAAATGAAATCACTAAAATGAATCCGAAAGCAGCTTTATCAAGCTTTTAGTGCATAAGTTTCAAATTGACGAGCTCCATTTCAGACTGTTTTATAAACAGTTCCACACTGAAAACAGTTCCAAACCAGAAATGGACTTCACACATTGTACCCTTGTGGTTAATCGAACCCGGGTTTTCGGCGTGACGAGCGAACGCTTTACCCACTAGGCTATCCCAGCGCCGCTGAAGGGATGGCCTAGATTGTGTGGCAGTACTTCTAACGTGCTATGTTTATTCCACTGATGACATAGAGGATTTTTCGGCATCTGTCAAAAGCCTGTAATTGTGGCATGGAATGTTAACCTTTAGGAAGCTGTATGATCTGAATACACATTCGAACGTTCACGAAATCGTAGAGGAAGCACTAGCTGAGTACGGTTTTACGCCGTTTTCAATATTTCAGCAATATCACCACGGGGGACACCAGAAATGGGCTTCACACATTGTACACCCATGTGGTGAATCGAACCCGGGGTCTTCGGCGTGACGAGCGAACGCTTTGACCACTAGAATAGTTACATTGTAGACATTTCAATAGTCTGTAGCCTTGTCCCGAGAAAATAAATTAGACAGATAGATACACAGACAGATGGATGGATAGAAAGATAAATGGGTGGATGAATAGATAGCTAGATGGATGGATAGATAGATTATAATTTTGAATAATATAAATTCATTAAAGGGAACAAATGTTAGTCTACCAGTTCTACCATTCATTGCTAGAAAATCTAATGACAATATGAAGAATACGTTCAGTTTTCCATTGATGCCACCAAAATGATAGAAATCAGGGGGTTTCCGATTTAGAATGGGTCCTCAGCAAAGTATGCTGGTTGCCTGGCCCAATGCTAGTTGATAACGTTCACATCGGCGTGGGACGTCGCTAACGATATAAATCCCATGTTTGTCTGGTCCAAGACTTCTTGCTTACAGGCTGTCTTCTTATAGCAGGGATATGGGTGAATGCCGATTTCAGAAATTAATCGTTTTCGCAATATAGATTGTGTTAGAGCGAGTTTATATACTTCACGTCAAAAGTTTAGAATCACTAGTGTAAATATAGACACTCACTTCAGGCTACTGTTCTAAACTAAATTTTGCAAATTATTCCATAGTGTTTAAAGGTACTGTTTACAAGTGAACTGATGTATTGTAAAACAAATTCGTACAGTTGAAACGATTATTGGCATGAGTTCAAGAAATGATAAAACTCGGTGAAAATTGGCGAATTCTTAGCAAAATTTTACACCAAAAGGCAGCTGTTCACATGCATGATATTTGCACATGCTTTTCAGCAATTTGATGCATGATCCTCGTGCAATTCATCTGCATAAGGTTTGCAGTTGGTTCCCCCAAGTTAGTGGAGAAATCAATCTTCGATGTAACCATGTATATACACAACGTATAGTGAGTGTTTTCAGTGTGTCTAAACTTTTGATGGGTAGTATATTAATCGCATTCAATGGATGTGGGTAGGGTGCACTGTAGACTATCATCTAGGTGCCCTGCAAGTCTAGAGTTCATAGTGAACGGCTATTCGAAACTGTCAAATGGGCTCACAGTGCGTATGTTTGTCATCAAGCTTCTTTGAGAGGCGTTAAGACGTTGAAGCAGTAAGGAAGGATAGCAATATGTGGATGAACAACTTCAGCAAGTGATGAAAAGAATACAAGTGTGAGAAAACAATGTGTTAACTGGCTTCCCAATACCTATACTGCAGTCTTAATTACCATTGTACTGTACAAACACCTCACACTTGTACATATGTCTCTCCACACCCATTCTGTTCAGCACTCTCGCTGTTATAAAGAAGTTCATCCAAACATTGTTGTCCTTCCTTATAAGTTTATATTTGTTGTTCGACAGTAGCATGGCAATATTTGGATTTATAACACAATGATAAATATCATGATGTCGCCGGTAATTCACACATCTGATGTCCATAACTGTCCTACATGTCCCCAGAATCCGCCGCTGAGAGAATCCATAATTACAATTGCAGACGACAGAATTATTTGAATCTCACTGAGGGTAAAGTGGGCATGCATTACATTCATCAGTAGAAACTTGGAAACTTACTTATAACGATAATGCACACATCTCCCGCCAACCTCAATCGCCACTTGTACCGCGAGGGGACACTTATTCTTCTCGCCATATTGTAGATATATCTCTCTCTCTGTGTTCAGACAAAAGGACGCTGTGTTAAACTGGGCAATTTGCTTCAGCAGCAGCGGCAGTTATTCCGTGATATTTGGTCTGTGACAGGCTGGAATGTGATGCTGACCTACTTTGGGGATATGACGGGGGAATATACAACCAACTCCAGAAGACGTCTGTTGTTAACTCAGCGATATTTCGGTTTTATTACGGAGGACTGTCAAGCTATGAGTTAGGGCCAGATAATCCAGTGACTACCCGATGATGCACAACCAATCAAATCACTGAACCTGTTAATCCCGTCGATTATACAACCTCTTACGACTGGCATATAGGTTGTAAGGGACCGTTCATGATCTATGGCTAGGGGGTTGATGATGATGTTTATGGAGAAGCATGTGCAATGTGAATGAAATCCCCCCTCCCCCCAAAAAAATAAAAATAAATAAATAAATAAGCAAACAAATAAAATAAAAAATTACATACAAAGTGAGTGAACCCCCTGCATGTCATGTAGAAAAATCAATTACATCCCCCCTCCTACATGTGTACAAAATTGATGACCCCTTCCTCCCCAGAACAAAATGGGTGACTTCCCCCTTTAGAACAATCATCACCACCCACACCACACCACAGCCATAATTATGAATGGTCATAATATATGATAAGAATAATACAACACTTGTATGTCTTAACACAACTCTGTTATTCTTATTACAGAACCCCGCCGCTAGGTCAATAGCCATTAGAAAAGTTCACATACATGTACATTTTACATAAGGTTTTGTTTGGTTTGTTTTCTAAAGCCACACTCAACATTAATCCAACTATATGGCTGTGGACTGTAAACAATCGAGTCTGGACCAGAAAATCAAGTGATTCACATCATGAGAATCGATCTACACAATTGGGACAGGATGTGTGTCAACCAAGTCAGAGTCTGACCACCTGATCCCGTTAATCACCTCTTATGACAAGCATGGGTTGCTGAAGACCAATTCTAACCCGGATCTTCACAAGTCATAAAGTATTGTGGACATTTCTTCCAAAATAAGGACTCCATCCAAGACAGGTTTTGTTTTTGTTTCGTTTTCCGAAAGCAACATCTACACAGATCTGAAGTTTTCACCCGGATTGAGTGAGTATGATTTACGCCTCTTTTAGCAATATTCCAGCAATATCACAGCAAGGGACACCAGAAATGGGCTTCACACATTGTGCCCATGTGGGGAATCGAACCCGGGTCTTTGGAGTGATGAGCGGTCGCTTTAACCACTAGGCTACTCCACCGCCCCAGTTTCCGTCTGGTCTGCTTGACAAGACTACGTAGACTTACCATCGTTAATATTTCCTGCTGAATGAGAACTCCAATGAATTCAGGTTTCAAATACTTTATTCGAAGGCAACATCTTAACAGATCTTAAAATATATGCTTGGTGTAAATGACAAAGACAAAATACAAAGGCTGTCCAAAAGTATTGCAAGTATGGACCTATAACATGACAAAGCACAAAAAAGTGACTTTTAACTGACCATTAAGGCGAATCTAAGGCAACATATGTGTGACAAGTGTTAGAAAATATATATAGCTGTATTTGTGGTTTTGATATTCACTCATAGTCTGAAGCAAAGCATTTATGGGATTTGTTCATCAGAAACAAAAACTCCTTACACAACGCTTCATCTCTTACAAGAAACACACACCATCTGGACACGATGTTCCTTGTTTTACAAGGATCCAACACCTTCCAGACATGATGCTCCATGTTTTACAAGGATCCAACACCTTCCAGACATGATGCTCCATGTTTTACAAGGATCCAACACCTTCCAGACACGATGTTCCTTGTTTTACAAGGATCCAACACCTTCCAGACATGATGCTCCATGTTTTACAAGGATCCAACACCTTCCAGACATGATGCTCCATGTTTTACAAGGATCCAACACCTTCCAGACATGATGCTCCATGTTTTACAAGGATCCAACACCTTCCAGACATGATGCTCCATGTTTTACAAGGATCCAGCATCATTCTGACAGGGCCAATACAGGGGGACATGCATTACATGTTGCACTGCATGCAAGTTTAAAACATTGTGTAACAAGAAAAAATTGTGTCCAGGGACATGGATGCCCCCGCTGCTGTAGGAAGAGTTCACATATTCAGGGTCCCACAGAAGTACTTGAAAACACTAAAAACAATGTGTTGAGGGGTTAGATAACACAACCTATTATCATATAAAGATCAATAATTGAACAAAATTCACGAACATGTTCAATAAACATCTATGCAACTATGAGATGCAAACCTTTCGAATCCCAATGAAACACACGTATAAGCTTAATCAATTCTGTTGAGCAGTTTTTGTGGAGAAGTGGATAGACCTAATCCCCTATTTCACTATCATCAGAGAGAAATTCAACAAAATTGATCTAAGTTCAAATGTCTCTAAACATACAAAAAAAATATAAAATACAAAAACAAAATATGAGATGCACACCTTTAGAGTCTCTATAAAAGACATATGTAAGCTAAATGAGTTTTGTGTAGTGGTTTTTGAGGAGAAGTAGATAACGTACACCCCCTGTTGTATGGGCCGAACAGGATGAATAGAACCAAATTCAACTAAGTTCAAACATCTGTGAAAGTGACAAAACTAGGAAATTGCATAAAAAATTATGAAATGCACACCTTTAGAGTCCCTACAAAAGACATGTAGAAGTTCATTCAATTCTGTTAAGCAGTTTTTGTGGAGAAGTGGATAGACTTCATCCCCTATTACACTATCATCATAGAGAAATTCAGCAAAATGTACCTAAGTTCAAATGTCTCTAAACTTACAAAAAAAAACAATAAAATAAAAAAACAAAATATGAGATGCACACCATTAGAGTCCCAAGAAAGCCCATGTATAAGATCATTGAATTCCACAGAGCGGTTATGGTGGAGAAGTGGATAGAATACATTCCCAGTTTCGTACGTACGGACGGACACCGAGGGTAACCCTATATGCCACCAGTCATATATGGCGGGGGCATAAAAAGATGTCTGAGATGTTTTGTTTATACACATGAGCAATATTAGGTAAATCCCTCAACAAACAAGGTGCACTGAGCATTCCTCTATAAGCAACACTATATAATCCTGGGTTGAACATCATGATTTGCAATCACTGTTTTCCTAAATGATAATAGCTTAGTGTTTAAAGAGTATATCAAAATTACATCACTGATGTAGCACAAACATTGGAAAACATGTGTGAGTATTACTGAGATTATTTATATTCAACAGACAAAGGTCTGTTCATAATCCAAAGACAGATTATGCAACTATAAAGGGTTCCAAAGCATAACACATGAGGCCTTTTATCTAAAGTAAAATGGACACATGTATAATGACAGCCAGCTGCCAAATTTCTGGCATAACGCATGGATTCAGTAACAGGAACAATAAATGTACATTTGTCGCTATGGACACACAGGAAAGGCAGTAGGTACTCTTGACTGAAGAAGGAAGATTTCACGAAAATATGGCACTGTTTTCAGTTCTCGCAAACAAACATCTTGCATCAAATATTTGCTCATGGAAAACTCAACAAACCTTTCCTGTATTGTAGTTGATGGCAATTTAACTAAAATGCCCATCGGTCAGTCAAACAAACATGATGATCTGTCTAAATATACTTCAGCACATCTTTCCTCCAAATTGATAAGTTTTAATGAGGATGAAAACACAGAAAAAGGCCATTTAAAATAGCACATGCCTGTATATAATTGTTAATTGTTTGTGCCTGATACAGAGTTGTGTCCCTTGGCTGAAAGTCGTATTTGCTCTTGTATGTTGACAGTATTCCAGCAATGCTTTGTCAGTCAAGAAATCATTGGACCAGGAGAACATGATATCATGATAAACATGCTGTTTTACCAAGATCTTCTCACAGGCAATATTCAGCCAAAAGTTTGCCACAAATTTCCCAATTCACATCATAATAAAATTATAGCTAGTGATACAGCTTTGAAGAGCTGAATGGCCAAATTTAGCAAAATCAAGATATGTCTCAAATTAATCCAGGATAATTGCCTGCTACTACTGAATACAATACCAATCAAATTCCATACTGGTAAACTATTCTAATGTGGAATCCCACATGAACCATCTGATCTATGAAGCAAAGGACATGTAAAACAGATCATCATCATCATCATCATCATCATCATCAACAACATCAACAATATCTCTCTAGTGAGGCATAGGTTGAGTGTTATAGTACAGCCATAGCAAAGATTGTCACAGTGGCCATCAAGCCGTTATTTAAGTTGAGTCAATAAAAGTTAAAGAAGCCAACACAGGACCACACTGGTACAAAGCTACATTAAGCTAACAATTCAAGCACATTGTACAATGTATATTGACATGATACTGCAAACATGGAGGACGGCATATATTGCATATATTTTCATCAATCATATTCAATGAAAGATAGATCTTCCCATTTTTTCTCTGATCAATTCATAGAGTTTCACAAACTAGAGTCCTCCTGAAGAATATCTATCAAAATATACATATCTATGAACTAGAAAATTATGATATGTAATCATTCACACAAGGCATACTACTATAAGAAACATCAAGATTTAACAATATAGTCAAACAGAAAATGAGATTCTTCTTCAACATCATAATAGTGATGCCAACTAAATTTTCCTTAAAATTCCACTTTAAAAATGCGAAATACTTTCAATGAGTGAATTGCAATTTAAAACTTCCTTAAACAGTATTCCACTTACATCATGGCAGGTCAATGCTCAATGTTAGGGAACACCAAGTGCCATAGGTCATTAAATCCAAGCACATTGTACAATGTACATTGACTCTGGCCATGAGACTGCAAACATGGACGATATTTTGCCAGTCTAAGTAAACTTAGGCTCAGTATGATTCGTTACACTGCTATACTGAGTCTAACAAAACCTAGTAGAAGGTCACGTCAGCTAACCTTTGAGCCACCTATGACCGTCCAATCAAACGCGAGACAGCCGAACGGATTAACCAATCAGACAACGACTACTTGTTAGGTTTCGGCGGGACTTACAAAACGGTTTTGGGATTTTCTCTTCCCTGGTCGCTGACACTGATCTATAAACAAACGAAAATCTGCATAAAACACAGATATTTGACCTGCAGTATATACGCTTATGGGTTTCTAATGACATGGTTACTATTTGCTTATATTTTCGCAAGATGACATCCTTGAATATTGACAAAAACGCTATTTTCAGCAACTGTTTACTCATTGCGTGTATCACTCGGAAGCAATCGTGCGGAAAATAGCATTCAGAATCGTTCAAGTGTTTTAGGTAAAGGTTCAAATGGTATGTGCGAATGTTACTTTTCGTGATTTGGAAAGCTGTGTTCTGATTGGTCAGTCCAAAAGGTTAGCTGACGCGACCTTCTACTAGGTTTTGTTAGACTCAGTATAGCAGTGTAACGAATAATACTGAGCCTAAGTTTACTTAGACTGATATTGCCTGAATATCTTGCTGGCATTTTTGTGAGTATCTATTACACCATTGTAACTTTAAAATATTAATTAAGTACATTAACCTAGCATCAATCACTGGAAATGTTGGCTGATATTGTCTTTGGGAAATGCATTCTCACTACTGATTTCAGTTCATATTCCATATATTCAAGTTTGGCCATATGTTTCCATCAATCATGTCAGTTCATATTCCTTATGGCCATATATTCCCATAATCATCTTTGTTCATATTCCATCAGGACATATATTCCCATTGATCACCTTTGTTTGTATTTCATAAGGCCATATATTCCCATTAATCATCTTCATTCATATTCCATACGGCCATATAATCCCATTAATCATGTTCATTCATATTCATTAAGGCCATATATCCCCAATCACCATCCCCGTTCATGTTACGTAAGGCCACATATTCCCATTAATCATCCCCATTCATATATTCCCATTAATCATGTTCATTCATATTCTATAAGGCCATATATCCCCAATATTCATGTTCATCCATATTCCATAAGGCCATTCCCCTACAATTATCCCCGTTCATATTACATAAGGTCATATATTCCCATTAATCATCTTTGTTTGTATTCCCTAAGGCCATATATTCTCATTAATCATGTTCATTCATATTCCATAAGGCTATATATCCCAAATAATCATATCTGTTCATATTCCATAAGGCCATATATTCCCATTATTCATCTTCCTTCATATTCCATATGGTCATATATTCCCATTAATCACCTTTGTTCATACTCCACAAGGCCTTATATTCCCATTTACTATGTCTGTTCATATACCATTAAACCCACATATTCCCATCAATAATATCAGCTCATCAATCTTGTCATCCTCGATAATCTCCAGGGTATACGTTACGCTCACTCTCCACTATACCCTGGATGCATCCACGGCTTGGCCCGATGATTTTATTACCTCCCTTGGCTGGCTTTATATCCAATCAGGTGTCTACGCTGGGAAGTTGAGGGAACCAATCAATACTCACTTTCACTTCTTAAATTATCTAACCGTTTAAACTTGGCAACACAATTGATGCAGAGGTACTCTGAAGGGGTAGAAGGAGTTCTTTCATATATTTTCAGATCTGTCAATTTGTCTGTATGATTTCCCAAAAATATGAGTGGCACTGCGAACAAACCTTCGCGACTGCAACTCTATCTTTGTTGACACTGGCAAGCTCGGATGTAATGGCGCTTAGCTGATTGGCCACTGTGAGAATGTGCCAGTGAGCCAGCAAAGGGAGGTCATATAATTATCGGGCCAAGCCGTGGACGCATCCAGGGTATAGTGGAGAGTGATCGCAACGTATACCCTGGAGATTATCGAGGATGCAATCTTGTCAATTTCATCAATTTCACAGAGGCCATATATTCCAATAATTGTATATCAGTTCATAATCTGGGATCAATTCATAAAGTATAACAAATCAGTGTTCTCCCAAAGCATATACCAGTACATGTATATCAAAGTATATTCGCATACATACTGGCTAATCCTGACACATATACATTCACACAAGGCATACCACAATCAACAACCAGGTTTCAAACAAAAGTCAAACAACAAATGAGATTAAACGTTGATTAAGAGTGATACTAAGTGTATTTTACTTAAAAAATTGAAAAAACTCTCACTGAGTGAAATGGACTTACCCTGCTTTGAACTGTACTCCATTTACCGTATATTACCGTAGATAAGCCGATGTCATAGCCAAGCCGACCCCCTAACTTGACCCTTAAAATCAGTATCAATATGGTATGTTCCTTAAGCCAACCCCTAAACTTTTGCTCATCTTTTTTTTGCTCATCAGTCATCAGAAATGGAGTATCAACAAATCCATATCGAATTACGCAAGCTTATCCTGTTGTTACACAATCTCATAATAAAACATGTTCTTTGCATATCTGGACTTATGTTTGCAATATAGTGTATTAATTTTACTCAGAATGTCAAAAAAAAGAGAGTTAAATAATCTTGTCTTGTGATGTTTAATTGCACATTTGACATTTTTACTGACAAAGCTGTCTTCTCTTGTCAATTCACGCAAAGCGATACAATGTCGTTTTCTTATCCCCTGAAAGAGGTTTGACAAAAGTGTAACCTGTAGATAAGCCAACCCATTGTACAGACTGCTATTTTTGGTCCTCAAAATTCAGCTTATCTATGGTAATATACGGTATATCATGGCAGGTCAATGCCCTGATCCAGAATACAAAGTGTCACAGGTCAGAATAATTCACCACTTTAGTAAAGTCCATCTGGTATTCAAACCTAGTCATCGAATCTGGACATGACTAAGGCATGTAACTGTGTATATCAAATTAAAGAGCATATGCATAAATGTAAGTGTAAGACAAATGTGATTGTGTTATATAACACAATATCACATTTGTGACATTAACAGTCAACTTTCCAATTAATGACACCCCTAGTAAATGCCTAACCTGTGACAAGTGAATCAGATAGATCTTGCTTATTACAATACGGTCTAACTAGAGGTTGGTGTTTTCATTGTCCCCCTTTAAAGCCTGAGTCGAAATTCTCCTCTGCTCTTCAACCTTCTGTTTTCTGTTGCCCGGTGATACTTTATATGCCTGAAAGATCAAGAAGTAGTTATGAAACACATACAGTCCAGAGTAGTCTAATCTGTATGTATGGCAAGACAGCATTATGTCTAAAGAATGTTTAGGTCTTTGTTCTCCAGTTTTTTTATTGTGCAATACACATTTTGTACACTCGTTTAACTTCAAGATCAACAATGGCACAAACTTTGATGTCACTCTATAGCTACAACCCATGAAGATCTGGGTTAGAATTGATCTTCAGTAACCCATGCTTCTCGTAAGAGGCGACTAACGGGATTGGGGTGTCCGGCTCACTGACTTGGTTCACACAACCCAATTGAGTAGATCGATGCTCATGATGTTCATCACTGGATTGTCTGGTCCAGGCTCAATTATTTACAGACCGCCGCCATACAGCTGGAATATTGCTGAGTGTGGCGTAATACTAAACTCATTCACTCACTCACTCACCCAGAGCTACAAGGATGTCAATCCAAGGATATAGATCTACCAACAAAAGAGCTACATCGGTCCTAGGATGTTAATCCAGAGAGATATTTACACCAGTAGACCTACAAGCCTTGTGATGTAATTCTGAAATTCAGAGACACAGGCTCACCATTTGTGGAACAATAACACGCAGGATGACCATCCAGTGAGACAGACTTAGCGACCATTCATAATTTATGGCTAGGGGGGGGGGATGATGATGATGATTTTTATGGAGAAGCATGGACAATGTGAATGACCTTAGATTTATGTACAAGGTAAGTGACCCCCCCCCAGCTCCTTCATGTCATGTACGAAAACAATGAACCCCCCTTCCCATAATTCTTAAGTATAATTTTTTAATATTTTTATGTACAAAATTGCTGACCCCCCAAGTACATGTGTATAAAATTGATGACACCCCTATCTCCCCAGAACAAAATGGGTGAACCCCCACTAAAATCATCATCCCAAATTATGAACGGTCCCTTACCACAAGTAGAGCTAAACAAGCCCCAGGATGTCAATCCAGTGAGACAGACTTACCACAAGTAGAGCTACAACAAGCCCCAGTATAGCCCCAGCCAGGACGTCACTCCAGTGGTGCTTGTAGTCGGAGATACGTGACAGGCAGGTGTAGAAGGCCATGTAGAACAGCACGGTCTGCAGGGTGGGGCGCAGCAAGGTGAGGCCACTCCAGGTGAGCTTCATCTGCAGGTAGATCTGAAACAAGCATCTTTCTTAAGTGTCCTTGATTGTATTTAAAAACTTACAACTTGCACGTCAGGAGGTGAATGTTACTGTTTGTTTGTCTTGCCAGTTATCATATTCTGGTTATAAGCTGCAACATTCCATCCAGAACAGGGCGGTGGGGTAGCCTAGTGGTTAAAGCGTTCGCCTATCACACTGAAGACCAGGCCCCAATTTCACGAAACAGACTTAAGTTTTTACTCAAATTTCAAACTATGTGCCAAATTTGGTAAAGAAATGGTAAACGGTTTGAAAGTTCTGCTCCAGAAAAGAGCCCCAACACCAATGTCATTCAAAGTCAAATTTTTGCCAACATAAAAATATTTTATTCAAAAATTCAAAACTACCAAAAGGCACCACCAGACCCATCTATGTGCCAAGTTTGGTGAAGAAATATTGAATGGTTTTTATGTTCTGTTCAAGAAAAGACAAATTTGCATGGACTGACGGACGCACAGACAAAGTCCATCTTAATACATTTTAATGCAAAACATGTTGCGGGGGAGGAAAATTCTTACGAATACATAAACAAATGTCAACAATGGTTAAAAACCATCAGTCTAAGAAAGGGTCTCTGTATGGTGGAATAATCAAAAGTAGTTGACAGAGCTGGAAGAAAAAGAAAGTTCTCAATTTCATTTTTTTATTGAATTATGTGAATGAAGTGGATTGAGCATGTTGAAAGAATTGTGAATTTTGTGGATCAAGAGAATTATGTGTATCATATGAATTAAGTGAATTAATCAGATTAATTAAATACGTGAATTGTATGAATTATATGAATCTGGCAAATTATGTGGATCCAGAGAATTATGTGAATAAGGCAAATTATGTGCATTAAGCAAATTATGTGAATAAGGTAAATTATGTGAATTAAGCAAATTATGTGAATTAAGCAAATTATATGAATTATCTGACTCAGCAGATCTGCATTTCCAGTAGCAATGAGCCTTACCATGAGAAACACCATCGTGTAGACAGCCTCCGAAGCATGGCCTGATGGGAAGGACACCCTGGAAACAGGAAGATGGATCAATCAGTTAAACGGCTGTAGAGGCACAAAGCAGATATTGAGATATAAGAAATTTCAAATGTCTATAAATCCGTAGTCTTGTATGAAAAGTTGATGAAACAATATAAATCTTATATTTTCTAAATCAAGCACACAGTGAGACCGGCCTTGCCAACAAACAGTTGGGATGGAAAGTCAGATAGTGTAGGGAATGAAATATTCCAGCTATATGGTGCCGGTCTGTAAACAATCGAGCCCTTTACCAGACAATCCAGTGATTAACAGCATCAGCATTGATCTACACAAATGGGATACAATGACATGTGTCAACCAAGTCAGCAAGCCTGACCACCCGATCCCATTAGTTGCCTCTTAAAACAAGTAAAGGTTACTGAAGATCAACTCTAACCTGGATCTTCACGGGTTCACATGGTGTAGCATAGAGATAAATGATACAATAATACTGTGATATCACACGTATCCCAACAATATGGGTGCGGTATCATTTGTAACCCAATATTGTACTTTTATTTTATATGTTCGTATTCTCAAAAAATAAACAAGGTAAATTCGAAATAATTGCTGTCATCAATATAATGTGCCATGAGCTTCATGAAGTGGCTACCAGCGGACCTCATGGCACAGGGCTCGTACTGATCTTTGGGCTCTAAATTCAAGCACGTTTAGGCACATATTTTAGGAAAAAACATTGGTTTCAAAGACCACCATTATGCATAATAAACATGAAGTTGAGTACAACTCTACATCAGCAAGGGACATCAGTGTCACAGATTAACGCTTTTTTGAGGAACTGTCAGTAAAATTCCAGCACTTTGATAGTGAAATTGCAGATTCAAGAACTTTTCATGATGCATGGGTAAATATGTGCATTTTTCAAATCTATGAAAATCCTTTGCCAGCACAGAATTTTAATTTGTTCTTACAAACAGCCCAGTGCATATTCTCACCTAGCTTCTTCAATGGCCTTGACATCACTCCCAGTGCAGACATCTTCGGTGATGTAACGATTCCCGTCAGAGCAGTTTATCCTTACCCAATCCGGCTGGCAGATGGCAAAGAAATGAGGCCGCAATCTTCCTACGGCATACTTGGGGATGTTTGTGGTCAAATGAGTGACCGCAGCACCAAAGAAGAAAGGCACCAGATAATCAAAACTCTGCTTGACCATTTTCAACAGCATTCCATTCTCTTGGGTGTCAGTCTTCTCCTTATTCTTGTAAACCAGGAAGGATTCTATGCCAATGATCTGAAAGTTGATTGCAAGTAAATGAGATGGTTTTTTACGATATAGTTATCCTTATGGCACTACATAGCTTCACAATTCAATCAAGAAACTCAGTCCAGGCCTCATGTACTTACTGAGTTCATGTTGTTGTTTTAACCTAAAGTTACGAAATTCAAATCTTGTACTCCCACTTCTACTCGAACATGTTGAAGATCTGAGGACACCCCTGTGTTAGCACCCTCCTACCCAGAGTTCCATGCGGCAAGCCAGCATAGTACCTCTGCCACAGGCCAGAAAATGTGACGATTCGTCACATCTTGCACCGTCCATGCAATATAATGTACAGTTTATTTTTATTCTTTTATTTTTGACGAGTCTACACATCTAACTAAACATCTTTAAAAGAATGAATTAGTTTCACTGAGAAAATATCCACAAAAATATGTGTAATACTATTTTGATTTGCGTAGCGATCCTTTGTTTACATAGGTTATATGGCTCCACGTGCTGTCATCAAAGCCGACGGAGAGCAAACGATGCAGCCAGTTTGCTATCTAAATATGTACTGTCATAGGCCTAACTGTCGCAGTTGTGGAAGAATATATATGTAACAATGTAAAACATTATGAAGAGAGCCTGTGGCAAATTAGCCTGTGGCAGTGATGTTAAGTTAAGTCATCGCTGTGCCGGAGTGTGCTGTGTTAGGTGAACTGTGAGCAAACTTTGATGACCAGTCTACAGAAGATGTTCAGGAAACAGAATGTATACAATATCAACAACAAAATAATCACGTAATGTCGATTAGGTTTCCTGCGTTTTCAGCAAAGATGAGAAATATTTACATCAACTAAGAAATTAAAGCATACATCCATCTGGTTCAGAGAAGGCTGCTTAAGGAAAGAGGGTGATGACAGCTAGAAACCGATGAGGATGCAGCCAGGAGAAACTACCAGAGAGTTTTTGAAAGATAGGACAAGTTTTTATTGACAGACAGGATTGCACCTATCATCTGGACTGCGACAAAGGCGGTGTTTTCTTGAATGAGGCTGACAACCAGGCAGGAACACCTTGTGTAGACTCACAACCCAATGTCAACTGCAATGCCAATCAACACAGATAGGTGTGAGTGAGTTTAGTTTTACGCCACTTTTAGCAGTATTCCAGCAATAGCACAGCGGGGAAAAACAGGAACATTTCCTTTTACCCGGTACACATTGTACCCATGAGGGGAATCAAACCTGGGTCTTTGGAGTGAGGAGAAAATGCTTTTACCACTAGGCTACCCCATCGCCCCACAGAGATAGGAAAGCAGTCCAGCCTTGAGTGGCAACCAGTCTAAGTAAACTTAGGCAAAGTATTATTCGTTACACTGCTATACTGAGTCTAACAAAACCTAGTAGAAGGTCGCGTCAGCTAACCTTTTGGACTGACCAATCTGAATACAGCTTACCAAATCGTGAAAGTTAACAATCGCACATACCGCTTGAACCTTTACCTCAAAAACTCGAACGATTCAGAATGCTATTTTCCGCACGATCGCTTCTGAGTGATACACGCAATGAGTAAACAGTTGCTAAAATAGCATTTTTGTCAATATTCAAGGATGTCATCTTGCTAAAATATAAGCAAATAGTAACCATGTCATTAGAAACCCATAAGCGTATATACTGCAGGTCAAATATCTGTGTTTTATGCAGATTTTCGTTTGTTTATAGATCAGTGTCAGCGACCAGGGAAGAGAAAATCCCAAAACCGTTTTGTAAGTCCCGCTGAACCCTAACAAGTAGACGTTGTCTGATTGATTAAATCCGTTCGGCTGTCTCGCGTTTGATTGGACGGTCATAGGTCGCTCAAAGGTTAGCTGACACAACCTTCTACTAGGTTTTGTTAGACTCAGTATAGCAGTGTAACGAATAATACTGAGCCTAAGTTTACTTAGACTGGAGTGACAACAAAATTGACTACAACAAGGTCTTGTCTACAATGTGTTGGAACTGGAAGATGAACAGTTTAAAGAATAAGCTCAATCATAAAAATTCAAGGATTTTTGCAGTGATCATGGATTTGTTGGTGACCTAGAGATATGGAACAACCACACTATCGAAAGCATGGACACTATGTTCCCTGAGTGCAGAGTTCCCACAAACAATAGAGAGTTTAATTACCTAGGGGTGTGTCTGCTGTGTTCATAACTAATTAACTTCCTTATAACATGATCTGTGCTGCATTACTACTGACTATAGAGACACACAATAAACCAGGAAGCTGTGTTAATGATTATAGAGGTATATCTTTCATGGATATTTTTGGAAGCTGTTATTTTCCTGTATTCTAAATGCACATTTGAAATGTTTTCCTTATGTCTTTAACAGTATAGCTGTGGCACATTCAGGATTTACTGAAGGCTATTGCTATTGTGATATTCCTCAAGAAGTCGCTAAGTTCGTTAAAGAAGCAGTGATGTTTAATGTGATGTAAATATTAGAGGTGTCCGCGATACACCAATCTCCGCGATCACGATCATTATCCGCGATTTTAAGGTCCGCGATCGATCATTATGCGCGATACATAATTATCAGCGCCTTTTCATAGCATTACCTTACCGACAGCGTCTGGCGCTTCGCTGATTGGTCCATCAAAATAGTCTAGCCAATCACAAAGCTGTTAGTTTCCAACTTATTTTTAAGTAAAGCTAGCTACATCTATTTGCTCTTGATAATTAGCATAAATCCTAATCAATTGCCTCATTCAGTCATTGCCATTTATACATATTGCAAAAGCCTTGTACAAGGGCTGGTGGCCTATAAAGTAGAAATAAACTTACTATAATGTATTAGATGAATTTTTTGCATTGTTCAGAGAGAGAGAGAGAGTTTAACCAATTACCATGATTACTCTACACCTGATGGCCTATAAAGTAGAAATAAACTTACTATAATGTATTAAATGAATTTTTCGCATTGTTCAGAGAGAGAGAGAGTTTAACCAATTACCATGATTACTCTACACCTGATGGCCTATAAAGTAGAAATAAACTTACTATAATGTATTAGATGAATTTTTTGCATTGTTCAGAGAGAGAGAAAGAGTTTAACCAATTACCATGATTACTCTACACCTGTTCAATGCCTGATTGAAGAACTAAACATGCTAAAAGCAGTTACTCACAAAGGCTGAAGGCAGAAGGAAGCCCACACAGTACAAAGCTGCAGCGCTGATGGTTCCAGTTTTGTAGGGGTGCATCAGGCTTTGATCATCGCAGAAGAATCCTCGATGAAATGGCACTCCGACTTGCCGAAGAGTGATCGACAGCGCTGCAACTGTAAATAGACATGGTAAATATAAGTCAATGAGTTTGGGTTTAACACCATTTGGAAAAGTTTTTTCATCTTTAACAGGCAACAAACTATTAAATATAAATATGGTCAACATAGTTAATCAAGTTACATATTTTAGCACGGTATATTTATGCTTCATCATGTACAATAACAAAATAGTTTTACTTCTACTATGTCAACTCGTAACCATTTTGATTTTTTGGGTGTCAAGTCACATCTTTGACATTCTTGTAAGGAGTCTGTGATACAATGACTGTAAATTGTTGACAAGCCAGCTAACATGTTTAAGTTAACTTAGAACCAAACACCTGGGATTAACATCAGGCAGGAATGGCCTCCACAGACTAATTATATACTAGTCATAGTATCTGTGTCCTATTTAGAAAATAAAGTTTGGAAATGATTTGGACAAGACAAACTCTCTGAAAACTAACAACATCTCAATAGTGTTGTGACAGGTATTTCAAACATTCTAAAAATAATAACATCTTCCATTTTTAATTCTAACAATATGCACACAACATTACAGTCCCGTCATTAGTTTGTCAACATCTTTGAGTTACAAGAAAGAACTGCACCATAACCACGGTAACAGACATTTTCTTGACATGATATAGGAAATATACAATGTTGACAGAAGAAAGTAATCTCTTGATCATGTTGATATACATACAAGTTTTTTCAAGAACAATTTCATTTAGTGAATTCTGTTTTAAATTTGAAATCTTTGTAAATCTGACCTACTCCACTGCTAACCAGTCAGTTTGTAAAGGTTTTACTTAAATATAATCAGCATGACCAAGTTTAAAAATTACCATGCTTACAATATGTACAAGCCTTGCACTAACATCACATGCCTGTTCTAACCTGTCTATTCATCCCAACACAGCAGGCATGGTGGGATAGCAAACTTAACACATCGCTTTATCATGGCAAATACCTGGCAAACACATGAGTTCAAGTGTTTACCCTTGTCTATATTTATTGCAGGATAAATATTAAAGTAGGCCACTTCATTCACTTCAAGTACCCTTGTTTATTTTTTTTCTTCTGCTCCTGTATGGTACACTATTATTGTACATAGTACCATATTAGTTCAGCAAAGAGTCCAAAATCAAAAGATTTTACTGCTAATTTCTAAAATCAACTTTATTTACAGGGTGCATGGGTACAATGTGTGGAAGCACATTTCTGGTGTTCCCCGCCATGATGTTGCTGGAATATTGCTAAAAGCGGCGTAAAACCAAACTCAGTCAGTCAGTCAGTCAGTCTCTCTGTATATATGGCAATGCCTAAATGAGGCAGTTGATTAGGCTTTATGCTAATTATCAAGAGCATATTTACATCATATTAAACATCACCGCTTATTTAATGAACTTTGCAACTTCTTGAGGAATTTGACGCGCCAAGGCTATCTGCGACACAGCCCAACTCCAAGATGAGATCGACCACCTCAAAACAACCTTCATCACCCTCAACGGATATCCCAAACAACTTGTAGAGCAGACCGTAGCCACAATCCTCCATCAACAAAATGACCGTCCACCCAAACCCGAACCAGCTCCCATCCGGATCAACATTCCCTACCATGGCCAGATTAGTCATCACATCAGCTGACTTCTTTTTCTTAGAAAAACTGCCAGTGTAGATGTGACATTTTATTCTGATAAAACTTTGAAATCAACTTGAGAGCGAATGGAAGAGATGGCATCAACCAGACCAAACCCAATCACAGAGGATGCATCTACAAAATTTGTTGTGATTGTGGAAGCAGTTATATTGTAGAAACTTTCCAGCCGTTCAACATAAGGCTAAAAAGAACATAAAACTTCAGTTGAAAAATCTGATCTCAAATCTGCTCTCTCGGAACACATCGTCAAAAATCCAAATCTCTCTATCAACTGGCAACACACTGCTATCCTGGCTTCCAACATCAGTAATTGGCGCAAAAGAAAACTTCTTGAATCAATCAACATAAGAAGATTAGAACCCGAGATCAACAGGTATCAAGGGGTTTACCTCCCTAGCGCCTTGTGCATCATCATAGACTCTCAAACCACTCTGCTGTGTAAACATACTCTTGTACTTATTGTAAAAACATACCCTATCATTGTATTCTTCTCTTTCATCTCACTGCATTGTTTGTACATACTTAATTATATCTCCTTCCCCCCTTGCGCTTGTATATACTTATTTACATATCTGGCTTCCTGTACATCAATATATATAACTGTATTGTTCACTATGATCATTATCCACCTGACGAAGGGGCAAGAACTAGCCCAGAAACGTTGTGTAAAATAAATCAAGAAGTTGTTATCCATATGATTTGTCTTATATTATTACTCATGTTAATGTGTACAACAAGGACTGGTCGGCCCGGAGTCAGTATAATGTGTCTGAGTGGGGTATTCATGCTTCACTGCGGCATGGTATCTCAGTGGGCTAGCACTATAAAACCAGCTTAAGTCTGGGCTAGTACAAGCAGCCGCACATACACATACACACGCATGCATGTCGTCATATGAGCAAAATATCCTCAAGCACCCAATTTCACCTCACCTATCTCTCTCTTACTGCATGAGGGCATGTTTCGTATCACAGCATCTATTCACGGAAGTCCACACCCCTTGTTTATTTGTTTATGAATGTAGGTGTTGGCTAAGGTTTTAGGTCACCACAAACTACATTCATGCTGTGTGACACTCCAGAACTCAGCTGTAAACACATATGGAGACATCAGCAGTATTTCAAGTGGATCAAAGATTCAACACACAGCAAGGATTTATCTAGATTACCCAAAGTCGATGTCAAACACCATGTTACATAGTTTATATCACTGATGTTGTAGTGGTGACTAATACGTCAGAGGTGACTTTTATAAATCCCGAACATGCTTAGTAACCTACTGATCATGAAGAGACCAAAGGGTGATATTACCATGATTACTGATAAGATAGAGACAGTATTATAAGCATATTTAATATAATGTGCTTCCAGGGCTTAACAAGTTCCTTGTGCATACTATAATAATCATTCTAATGAACATGTTTAGCATTGTCATTTGAATTGAAGTGTGACAGCTTGGAGAAGACATTTGACCCTACATCTTACTACTATTGTTAGAAATACTTTGGATTAATTTTTAATGAGCAACTATGGGGAGCAACTATGGGGCCCAACTATGTATGTACAAAACAGTGAAACTGCTATCAGTTTATGCCAATCTGCTGTTTGAGCTCGAATCTACTCTATACAGCGAATGCATTCGTAGCTCGTGGCATGAGCTGAGCTGAGGACATACTATGTTCTTGATAAGTTCCATATGGCTCTCGTTAAACATGAATTTATTGTCTGACTGTTATGTATTTTGTAACTCCTGGGCGTCTGCTGAAACCGTTTCTGAACACATCCCGATGAAAGCCTTTCCCTTGTAACCACGTTAACCACTGTTAAGAGTGTTCTTATGGTTCTCCCACAACAAGAGGATTCTGCATAAGTGCATTCACTGAAGAGTACTAGTGAAGTCAAAGACAGGTGGCACTTCCGCATAATCTGGTAGTTCTACCCTCGCTCAAGTATCATGTACCGCTCACTTTGAAAACATATACCTGCTAATCTAGCAACAAATGGATAAGTAGTTAAACTTTTGTACTCACTCAGAATTATCAGCAAAATATCCACAACCAGCTTCACAATCCATCTTGTGTCAGCCATGGCTCAAGTCTTTTTGGTGTTAGTGAAAACAAACTAGAGTGACCTCCCTTTATTCTATTGCCGCGCACCTGTCAATTTTAACCGGAAGCACGTGCGGCACCATCAAAACGAAAACAAGCTATCGCCGAAACTATCTACAGCTACAGGGAACATATCTTTGTCAGAGTCGCCGCTCGCATTGTTCAAGAATGCTGCGTAGTCTCACAAGCCGGGTACTTTTTAAATTTGTTTTGAGTATTGCGTGACATGGTTGGAGCAGTGCTCTGGACTAAGCTCAAAACACTCGTTAGTTCATCAACTGTTTTAAATAATTTATGGCCCCCAAGTTGATTGAATTCAGGATGGTTTTTTATATGTCGGTGCTCATTGGGACCATCATATTCCTTGGTTGATAAACTGCAGAAAAATGTATGTTTTGTGGAGATGTACTCCAAAAATACTGTCGGAAATAGAAAAAAAACCCTGTTTTTTCGTATTATATCTACAGTTTAAGTAGTTAACATGTGAAAGTATGAAATATCTGTTAAACCAAGTTCGGCCTAACTACAGTCTCAATGGTAGGGAGATAGAAAATGTAGAAAAAGGACTTTACTGAGGAGAGATTAGTGCAGAAATGAGCAAAGCGACTTATTTGGAACAGACCATGGCTTTATGCAAATTAGTGTGCGATGATAGTGTATTATAAAGGACACTTTTTAAATTCCCATTTTAAATTATACTTGGCTTCAATATAAATGATAGTTGACGTACAACATAATAAGTTTAATACTGAAACTATTAAGGATGTAGCTACCACGGAGTCTCACTATCACTATAAAAGAAACAGGTAAGAGGGGGTCGTCACAAAAGCAAAACCACAACGGGTGTCGCAGACGGTGGTTGGGGTCGGGCTGGGGGATAGAGATATAGAGAATCTCACCCAAGTGTCTTCTGATATCAATTATATCAACACAAGTTGATAAAGTTACAAATATCCGAGGCTTGCCGAGGATATTTTTACTTTATCAACGAGTGTTGATATATTTGATATCAGAAGACACGAGGGTGAGATTCTATTTATCATCCCAAATCACTCTTCATTAATTTTCAATGAAAAATGTACATCTCTGAACATGGTACTGCCATTAGACTTGCAGTGCAGCGATGTCATAGCATTGTGACGTCATCAAGTACATGACGTCATAGCATTGTCAGGGCATTGTACAAAATCTACTGTCAAAACGATATCTCCTAGGAGATATCGTTTGATCTCACACAAGCGATATCTCCTGTGGAACACAGTTTTGGATGATAAAAGATAAACCTTTAGGGGAATTAAACTGTGGAAGAAAACGGCATGTCATAACAATTTACAAATAATATCCAGTCCTGTCTATTTTCAGGTGGTCATGCCACTTATATATTTTGAGACATTTAATACGATGGCTGATTTAAGCTTTTCTCATGGGTATGGGTATCATCCTCTTTTACATATCTCAACGTAAACTTTATGAAAGAAAGACACGTAAGATGTTAATCAATATATGAGACATGTTCAACACACATGAAAAAGCATAAGATATCATTGAGATGACCCCTTGTGCCTGTATGCAGCACATGCATTTCATGCCAGGTGAGTCAACGGTCGTCATACCTGGCTGAAGCGACCTAATTGCCATCTATACTCTGATCTATTGTTTTCAGCAGCTATTCATATTTTTTCTAAGTTTTGCCCGATTTTCACGAGTAAACATGCTTTTCTGGATATCCTATTACGCATTCCACTGAATTCCCAGTTAGGCCGATGTGGGTTATTTCGACATATGCTATTTGCAATTGTGTAGATTTTAGGGATACATAGTAACAGCCTAAAACAGTTTTTTTTTCTATTTCCGACAGTACTTTAGTATTAATCTAATATCTCAATACTTCAGCATGTCATTGCAGCATATGTGCAATGCTGACTAAAGATGTTGATACTCTGTGTTTTCATACAACCAAGAAATGCATGTATACCATCATAATGACCATGTTCAACAAAATGTCAGGTGGAGGGGCCTTGTCATCAGATTATTATCCACAAACTGACAATATATTACTATGATTTCATCAATCATTCTGTCATTCCTGTTTGACAAGACAATGCATGCATGCAGGGCTCCAGATAATTTTTCAACATCAGGAGTACGTTCTCCTTATATTTCCAACAGAGGAGTACTGGAAAACCTTGTTGTTGCCTCTTTCGACCAGCAGAAGTTGCTAGTATCCAATTCTAACCCTGAATCCCAATCGAGGTCTGGACAAGAACATAAAATCATTAAAAAATAATGACTAAAGGGATCAGGTGGTCAGGCTCATTGACATTGTATCCCAATTGGGTAGATCGGTGCTCATGCTCTTGATCAATGGATTGTCAAATCATATACGTATAAACATGTTAAGCCAATTCATTATCTTATTCTACTTGAATATGGTGATTCATGTAATGATGGTGTCGAATGTGAGATTGTAGATATGCTTCAAATATAAATGGTTTTGGGTAAACAAGAAAAGTCCAGTACATTTACTTTAGAGTACTAGTTGGAATTACAGGAGTATCAGTAATCTTGTGTTTCGTTTCATATATGCACCACGACATTGCTACTCTTATGTAAACAGGTCAATAAACAATAAAACAATACTTTTAAAAACAAGAAGACAAAGTCATCAATATCCCCTGCAATGGCTAAATACTCTTCAAGAATATGTCTACGAGTTATGATTATGTCAAATGTTTTGGCATGTATATAGCTAAGTGGAAGGAGAGTACTGAAAGGTTTCAATGTTCTGCTCCAGAAAGGAGCACTACCACCAAATTCAGTTGAAGCCAACATTGTTGCCATGGAAACGTTAAAAAAAAATTTTATTCAGAAATCCAAAACTACAAAAAGGCACCAGTACCCCACCAGACCTATTGATGTGCCAAATTTGGTGAAGAATATTGAATGGTTTCAAAGTTCTGCTCCGGAAAAGAGCAATGACACCAATTTCAGTCTAAGTCAAACTTGTTGCCATGAAAATGCAAAAAAAACCATTTTATTCAGAAATCCAAAACTACCAAAAGACACCAGTTCACCACCAGATCTATCTATGTGCCAAGTTTGGTGAAGAAACATTGAACGGGTTTAGAGTTCTGCTTTGGAAAAGAGTACTACATGTACCACCAATTTCAGTCTAAGTCAAACTTGTTGCCATGGAAATGAAAAACTATTTTATTCAGGAATTTAAAACTACCAAAAGGCACCAGTAGACCACCAGATCTATCTATGTGCCAAATTTGGTGAAGACATATTGAACGGTTTTAGAGTTATGCTCCAGAAAAGACGGGCCGGTGGGGTAGTCTAGTGGTTAAAGCGTTGGCTCGTCGCGCCGAACACCCGGGTTCGAATCCCCACATGGGTACAATGAGTGAAGCCCATTTCTGGTGTCCCCCGCCGTGATATTGCTGGAATATTGCTAAAAGCGGCGTAAAACCAAACTCAGTCAGTCAGTCCAGAAAAGACAAATGTGCAAGGACGGTAGGACGGAGTCCATTTTTTATTCCCCTGCAAAACGGGGGATAAAAATACATCTGTAAATGATTCTTAGACCGTACACCATTGCTGTAGTGCGTATCTGCTACGTTTTCTAAATTATTTCCTACCTATTTTATATCCGTACATATGCCGATCTGATACGGCCCTTATCTGGAGCCCTGTGCATGGTAACTGTAACCATGGTAACTGTCTGTGCCAGTGTCATTGTCACTAGCACATTTTCACAGTTTCTTTTGTGTTGTTCTTCTGACTAACCAAACTTGAAGACAAAGAAATGTTACAAGGATTTTACTTAGGGACTGGAAGTGTAAGTCACAGAGCCCAGTTTGATAACATCTGAGTTAAGTATGTAACATAACATGCAAGTCACTATAGTTATTATTACATATTCCATACAAAAATGAAAATGTTATTTTAGATGTTTTTACTTGTCCTGTTGATCACAAATAACAGACCGCCTCCGTGGTGTAGTGGTTAGGGCGTCCGCCCGGAGAGGTTCAATCCCTGGCCGCGTATACCAAAAGATGTAAAATATGGTACTTGTTGGTCCCTGCTTAGCGCTCGGCATTGGTCGGCTCGAAGTCAGTATACTGAGTGAAGTGTTCATGCTTAACTGCAGCATGTTCATTCTGACAAGCAGCCACACATTCACACGCATGCATGTCATAATATGACCAAAATATTCTTAAGTCCGACGTTAAACCCCATTTCACCTCATCTTCCTCACAAACTCACTTAGTTAAAAAATCAGCATCAAGATATAATCCTGTCTAGTGTCATGCTCTTTATTGAAGTGACCTTTATGTGGTCAATAAGTCTACTAGCAGCTTCTTGTAGCAGATGTTTTTGCTATTTTCAGGTGTTTGTTCCCCTGTCTTGTCGTGTTGGCCAGCGGTACATGGCTGATTTCACTGGTAATGCCAGTGATGTGCAAGGAATGCGTTATGAAAAGAGTAAGTATAGGCATCAGTACTTGGACATAAGCATTCAGTGTGATCTGTAGTGTATGTGATTCACCTTGTTTACTGTCATCATTGACATGTTTTTAGTGGTGCGTGTTGATATTGCTGGAAACACATTGCTGAATCCTAATCCTTCTGTTTGTTACGAATGTCAAATTATGTTTTGAGAACACAAAGCTTTTTATTCTGATTATTTTACAAAACTTATTTGAAGAGATATTAAATAATTTACTAAGGGATGAACCTAGCTATGGGGTCTCTACAAGTTCCTCACAGAAAATATATTTTCATACAAGCAATAACCATCATGGTTATTTGATAGTGATTTTCTGGACCTTTCTTGTTTACCCAAAACCATTTATATTTGAAGCATATCTACAATCTCACATTCGACACCATCATGACACGAATCACCATATTCAAGTAGAATAAGATAATGAATTGGCTTAACATGTTTATGCGTATATGATTTGACAATCCATTGATCAAGAGCATGAGCACCGATCTACCCAATTGGGATACAACGTCAATGAGCCTGACCACCCGATCCCTTTAGTCATTATTTTTTAATGATTTTATGTTCTTGTCCAGACCTCGATTGGGATTCAGGGTTAGAATTGGATACTAGCAACTTCTGCTGGTCGAAAGAGGCAACAACATGGATTGCTTGGTCAAACTTGGTGACTTTGTTCTTTGTGTCTTCATCATTGGATTATCTTAGATTAATTGGATGGCTGCTGTCTTACAGCTTGACCTTAAACAACAAACAGCACATACATGATAGTCTCATGCATTGGTACACTAGTTTCTCCATGTCTTGATAGGGTATTGTCGCACTGTCTTATAGATAATGTCTGAGTCAACCCAATTGTTTATTTCTTTTTCGTTACTTTCAGGTGTGAATCAGATTAACCTTCTTGGGCGACTTGGACGAGATGCAGAGTTGAGGGGGTCAGCAGAGCATCCTGTTGTGGTCTTCTCCATGGCAACCAACTCTGTGTATACGAAACAAGATGGTAATCATTCCTCTTCTTCTTTGGATGCAGCATTGTTATTTTTGTTATGCTTCAATTTGTCTTTGTTCCTGTAAATGTATTCTCTCATCAATGCATATTAATTGTGATATTGACCAATATGAAGTAGCACATGTGGCTGTCCAGAGTTACTTCCCTTAGCTGTGCCATGATTCACGAGTTTCCATGATTATGGCCTGTTTGTCAGCACTCCTGATCTTGAGATTTCACGGAGATGGTCAGACTAACGCTAAGTCTCAGTAAATATATAATTTTTAAACTGAAAAGAAGATTTAAGAATTTTTAGACTTGCTTCATTTAGGGCTGTGAGACAGACTAGATACAACTCGCCTTGCATTACTTTGGCTTTTCTTCATATAAACTGGGGCGCTGTTATAGCTTGTATACAGCTCAAGGATGTGTTAACATCAGTCACTCTGTACACACATTTTTCACTACTCACCATTCTTTCTCAGTCACTCACTAGTAACCATTTCATTACTCACTAGTTTCATGCATTACTGGGGGCTGTGGATCGCGGGCCACTATCAGTTCTGTGGTGTCAGTGGTTAGAGCATCCGCCTGGCAGAGAGGCGGAAGGTCGCGGGTTCTATCCCGACCGCATCATACCAAAAGACGTTACAATATGGTACTTGTTGGTCTCTGCCTGGCTTTCGGCATTAATGGGTACACCAAAGGCCAAGGACTGGTCAGCTCGAGTCAACTATAATGTGTCTGAGTGCTTACAGTCATATTCCTTAATTGTTTCCCAATTTCACCTCACCTCACTGGGGGCTGTTTTTGGGGTAGCCTAGTGGTTAAAGCGTTTGCTTGTCTTGCCAAAGACCTGGGTTCGATTCCCCTTGCCAAAGACGTTGGCTTCACACACATATCTGGTGGTCCTCACTGTGATATTGCTGGAATATTGCTAAAAGCGGCATAAAAGTAAAATCATACTCACTCACTCACTCACTCACTCACTCATGCATTACTGACCGTTATCACTCTTTCACTGCTCTTCACTGCTATTCTCACTGATTCGCTCCTCTGTTATTGTAAGTCTCACTGTTACTGTTTCAGGTCAGACAGTGTCCCATGTAGACTGGCACAGGGTCAGTGTGTTTAAGCCTGGACTCAGAGAGAAGATCGCCGTTAACTTGAAGAAAGGGTATGCCTGGGTTGTTGCCCACAGTATAAATCACTGGATAATATAGTCCAGACTAGATCTGCCATTAGTACAACATTGACCTCTAATATATAGTAGCAACCTAATTCACTTGAGATTTGTCTCCCTTAGGTTCTAGGTTCTGCAGGTCATGGGTTAAAGTTCCACAGGTATTAGCCTTAGCTGTTCAGCACCATAAGCCTGCTTTTGAGGCTTTAAGAGGGCAGTATATATGTACTACTCAGTATATAGAACACCAAAACATGTTATATCACTATGGCTACTACTCAGGATATCATTAAGTTGGAGAACACTTGTCAAAAAGATGTTATATCACTATTATGGCTGGACCCTTGGACAAATTAAAATTTATCATTACAGATTAACCATTATCATTAAGAATTGATGTTCAGTAACACTTGCTGTTTATAAATTTTACGTGTGAGTCATTTCAATGCCAATTATAAGAGCTAAACAGGATCTCTGGGTCCTGAGAATTTTCAGTGGGTCAGACAGACATCTACTTTACATCCCGATGATCCCACCTTGAAATTTCATTTGTGAACATTGTAACGATGCTCATGTTGTTGATCCACTGGATTGTCTGGTCCTGGACTGTCTGGTCCAGACTTCGATTCATAGACTGCAGTCATATAGCTGGAATATTGCTGAGTGCGGGTAAAGCTCAACTCACTCACTCACTCTTTAACTTTTGAGTTCATAAACATTGGGGTTATGAAACTCCACAACGTTTTTTTCCTGAGTTTGACTGAAATTTGTTTAGTTTTGAGCTGACAACAGCTTTAGTCCGATGTTTAAACGTAATTACACATTGTTAATTTCTGTTTTATTCTTTTCCATGTTCCAGTGACCGAGTGTTTGTGACAGGAATGTTGCGATATGATGAATATGTGGATTCTAATGAAAATGTGCAGAGATCTTCCACAATCCTTGCCTGTGAGTATGAGTCTGTTGAACTGATTGATTTAGCTCAATGATCATGTAGTTTCTTAGGTTAAGTATCCAATACATGTAGGAGGGAATACCTGTTGTTTTGCATCATAATCAATGACTTCCCAGCTATCAAGACCACCTTTAACAACACACTCTGGGTTAGAATTACCTGCTGGATCACTGGATTGTATGGTTCGGACTTATTTACATTCAGCTGAGGGTAGCATTAAGCAGAAAACATACACACCCACTTAATCAAGAAACTTGTGGTAACAAACTAAATTGAACTATTGTCTTATAATACAGAAATATAGGGACTCAATAATGTTTGGAAATAATAAACAGTTGAATATTCCATGGGTCAAGGATGATGCTACTTGATATCTCTGTGATCTAAATCAGATGCCTCTAATCTCACAGTTGTCATAGGAGCCATCTTATGAGAGAGTCATGTTCTTTGAATCATATGGTTTCAGTGTTTGAAGTGGATGATTTTGAGTCATCACACCACCAAACTGTATCTCATACTCATGCTATTAGCCCTTGGTCTGCCAAGATTCCTTTGCAGAATGTTTCAATAAATAAAATATTTCTATATGTGAATGTCTGAACATGTTTCTTTTTCAAGCCGACGTTGTGAATCTGACCAAGAGGTACCTCGACTCAGAGGCTCAGTGACTGAAGGAGGGCGTTAGCTCAGCTGGACAACAGGACCACACTGAAAACATTAGACTTTAATGTTTCATTGTGACTGAAACTCTGGGGGCTTGTAGTAATATGATACTTACAAGTTTTTAAATCCTTGTAATATCTTTTAGAGCATTTAATAGTTTTAATATTGATGCTTGTTTCCAGAAACCTATTTGTGGTGGCCTTTATTTTTCCATAAAGATCTGCATTTGTTTACTGGATCAAACAACCATATGTGTTCTACTTTACAGATTAAATAAAAGGTCTGATGTGCAGGTACATGTTGGGCTTTTGAAATATTTCTGTGTTACCAGAGACAAAGAAAATGAATGTACATTTTTGTTTGTTATTGATGCCATTGTTTGTTTATGTTGCCATTGTTTGTTTACTAACCTGTTGACATACGTTTGTCATTGTGTTATTTTTAGGAAAATGCACTTGATGTCTTTAATTGTCTGATGAAACATTTAACAGTAAAGGGGTCAATTAATGAGGAATAAGCTTCAGCATGTATTGAAAGTCTAGAGTGTTGATTGATCTAGAATTCTTGTCCAATATCACCGACCGAACATCCATGCTGGGCTATTCTGAAGAAACATTGTGCTATAAAAATTTAGTTGTGGCCAAAGTGTCCTTTGTTTTATGTATGTACATGTAGTATAAAAACTCTTTCCTCCTTCCTGTTTTATGAAATTTGCATGGTACAGTCCAGTATTTGCAATATGTATGCCGGTAATGTGCCATATTTTAAAATATTTGTGTATATCTAAACAAGGTCAGGAAGGAACTAATGAAGGTCAAAATAATGAAATTATAACAAGAATGAAGGCTAACACAAAATATGGACCGAAATCGCAAATAAGGAAACATTTGTAACAACTGTTGTATAACTGGTCTCATACAATCTGCTCAGGATAACCCTGATGCTGTTGGCTACCTATTGGCTTACCCCTCTTGTCACCCATATACGTATTTGGAATAAGATGTAATACGCCTGTTGTTACCTTTCTCTTATTGCTGTTTTGATGGATATTTTCTGACTTAAACAAGTGTTTTGTTGGAAAAGGGAAGTTTCGCGATCAGCAATTTGACAAAAAAACTACAGAAATTACATTTGGTCCTGTAATCCCTGACCCAACTCTAGTGTCTATACCTGAAATCATATTGTTAAGGAATTTCTTGACTTTTGTAGAAGTCAACTCATCCATACTCATTATATTTGGGTTGTACCTCTAGTCACTGACTTTCACAATGAAACTAAATAGAGATTTTGAGTATCATGTTACAGAAATATGATCTTTAGTGTTTTCTTAGTACATATTCAGTGAGCAAGTTAATGTTTAATGTTCATCAGCAATATCTTAACATATATTGATCATGTTGACTATAGGTTCAGCAAATGCTTCATGCACTCACTTTAGTCATTACTCAATAACTTTGATTATGGAAAATTTAAATGGAGGAAAAGATATTTTATGGAGATAGTGTTTGAGCCTTAGTATTGATACATAGCTAGTACTGAAATATAAATATTAAATTGTATTATTATGTGTATTTTGTTGAGAGGATGTACAAGACATGACGGTAGAGACAATACTGCATTGAAATAGGCTGTATTGGTTCCCGGTTCCTAAACCAGTAATCTTTCCCTGTTTGTTATGAGGACCTCTTGCATCCTCTAACACTATGTATAGTCTCCATTCTATTAAAACCCATTCAGCACGGTTGCTTCATGTTGGAAGTGAGGTCAGCACCTCAGTCATATAGCATTTCTCTCGAACATATGACTTATTTCATTGGCTGGCGGTTCTGAGCATTTCATTTGAATCGTGCTTAAAATATAATTGTGGTAGTAGATGTAATCTGGCTGGTTATTAAAATAAAACAAATATAATAAACTGAATTACGAAGGATAGGTCAGAGTGATGTACTGGACTTGTGAGATGTCATATTCAGAGGCAGTGATGTTAGCCTTCCGATCAGATTTATGGGTATTTAGAAGTTACAAGAATGTATGTATTGTAATGGAAATAAGTATGAGAATTATTCTGTCACATGCAATATTGTTTTGAGTGAAGGTTAGATGTGGATGTATGACAGACAATGTTTGGCCAAGTTTTCCAAGCAAGTGGCTAGCCTGTGGGATAGCTATATTGCAGTTGCTATGATAATGATAACAATATTCTCATATATGTTACCGAACATTCTGAAATAATGAGTGCTATAAGAGTCTTATGGTTTTATAGTTTACCATATTGGGTAACTTGATGTGAATAGGTTGAAAAACAAAATCTGTACAAGACAGCTGAACTTTGAAGGCATATTGACATGCGTTATGGCCAGACAAGCCTTTATGTGAAGCATGATGCGAGTGGAATAGGCTGTGTGATGTGTGAATAAAGAGTGTTTATATGGTTGGTGATGTTACAATTGACATGTATTTGTAGAATAAATAAAGAATTTATTCTAATGTGTTTTTGTTGTTATGGTTGGATAACAGTATGAAAATGAACCATAAAACGTACTTGCTGGAGTGAGTGAGGTGGGTTTACACACAGCTTTCAGAAATATTACAGGGCACCACCAAGAAATTGTCTTCACAGTTGGGGAATCAAACAGCCTGACCAGCAAAAGCATTTCTAATGAGTGAGTGAGTTTATTTTTAGGCTGCACTCAGCAATATTCCAGCTGTATGTCGGCAGTCTGTAAATAATTAAGTCTGGACCAGATAATCCAGTGATCAATAACATGAGCATCGATCTACGCAATTGGGATACAGTCACATGTGTCAACCAAGTCAGGGAGCCTGACAACCCTATAGTCGCCTCAAACGACAGGCACAGGAGAGAGAGAGTGCTGGAATAGGGATGGCATATACATCGGAAAGTTCACCTGTCTCAACAGACACTTGCGACATACATACTGGCGGAGGTAGCTGGTACACAATGTCCTTTCCTTCAACATCGATTTCGGAACTGCAGGTGTAGTGACATTTTATCGAAAACAGTTTGTAGTTCACCCAAAGTCACATACCATTTGAGGTTTTCCCATGCTTCTTTGTCATTCATTTTCATTAACTTTTCGACAGCCCAGTAACCTACCAAATCCATACTTGTAAAGGTGGTACATTATCTTCCAATCAACATTATTGTGCGAACGCGCCAATTAAGTGAAGAGTACAAAAGTTCGGAGTCGATATTTTGCAGTTCGAGTCAATGAATCACAGCTCCTCGTACAACTCGCATACACTTTGCAGGCAATCCCGGGATTTACGAGTGAGTGAGTTTATTTTTACGCCGCACTCATCAATATTCCAGCTACATGGCGGCCTTCTGTAAATAATGTAGTGTGGACCAGACAATCCAGGGATCATCAGCATGAGCATCGATCTACGCAATTGGGATACGATGACACGTGTCAACCAAGTGAGCGAGCGTGACCACCCGATCCCGTTAGTCGTCTCTCACTACAAGCATGGGTTACGGAAGATCAATTCTAACACGAATCATCAGGGTCGCGAAAACACTTAATAGGTATGGTATGCACCTGTTTATCCGTTTTCTTGGTCTTGATACATTTTTTTGCAGTGATAAATACCTCGATTTGTTTGCGTTTACCTTTCCAAAACGTCGTTAATTGTATGTGTTTTTATGTTTATCAACAGCATATCAATGCTCATGGATTTTACCAAGGTGATAAACGTCAAAGTCCTGCATTCCTGCGGGCTTTTATTCCTCCAATGTTGCTGAGTGCGGCGTAAAACTAAACTCATACACTCACACTCCTCGATCCGTGAAGGTCCGGGTTAGAATATTGATCTTCAGTAACCCATGCTTGTCGTATTAGAGGCGACTAGCGGGATTGGGTGGTCAGCCTCGCTGACTTGGTTGAGACATGCCATCGGTTCCCATTTGTTGATCACTGGATTGTCTGGTCCAGACTCGATTATTTACAGACCGCCGCCATATAGCTGGAATATTGCTGAGTGCGGCGTAAAACTAAACTCACTCACTCACTTACACTCCTCCATGAAGTTGACCCACAATCATTTTACTGGAATACTAATCAAAACAGCAGCATTAAACCTCACTCACCCTTCGTGAAAATAGCTCTATCGTTTTCATATAAACAACAGTTATGCCTCAATATTTGAAGAGTATTTTTCTGTCATTGAACTCGTCCCTGGGGCATTATCAAAATGCCGTTTCGAGGAAACCTTGATTATCAAATCTATTGGGTGTTTTTTAAATACAGAGTTGCCATGCGGTATACTTGATGCGATAAGGCACTGCTATTGCTTTGTTCGTAAGCGCTAACTGGCAAAATAACGCTTCTTGTTGCTAATCAATAAGACCTGATTATATCTTTCCAAATTCGGAAAATTCGCAATTTCTTCACGAATCAATGAAAATAATTATTCCCAAGAAAGAAAAACAGTAACAAATGAAAGTAAATTATAGGGCGTGCAAAAGTTTTCAAACATTTGCGTCAAAGATTTTATAATCATAAAATGAGGAATTGGTATCAAATATAGCACAGCACGTGAAATGAGTCAATAAAGTGTATCCGGTGACACACCCCAAGGACTTCACGTACAGCACGGAATTTCGGTGTCAACATGCGTGTATTGTTATGACAACGCGTCAAAACACTGTCTTTAACCACGCCCACCTCTCATCACCACGTGCAATATTGACGGCTCCTAATGAGAGAACAGCTGGGATTGGTTCGATTGTCCCACAGCCTGTCATGCGCGTTGGACAGGCATACATATTAGTCTCATTCCTTGTAATATACAGCCATTAAAGTTCATTGCATGCCAGCGATTGAGACTGAAAAGTATATTGCCATTTCCTTTTCTTTACTTTTACCTAAAATATAATGCATCTGATATAATCCAAAGTTTATTCGGAAATGGGAGCTGGCGGCAGTTTGCGAGTTCTTGTCTGCTTTATGCTGACACGAATATTTGCGGAGAAAACTCCTCTATATATTGGCGGTTTTTTCCCAATGAGTGGACCCAACTCGAACCTGGGACTGACCACTCTTCCCGCCGTCCAGTACGCCATTGACATGGTGAACAACAGGACAGACATCCTCCCCGACCACGAGATTGTGTTGGTGTGGAATGACACGCAGGTAAGATGTATTTTTGTGTTTTGTGTTATTTTGTGTTCTGTGTTATTTTTGTGTTCTGTGTTATTTTACCGCCGCAGTCAGAAATATTCAATTCAAATCCAAACCATGGGTATTTTTACATGGGTACGATGACATGAAACCTTGACCATCCGATCAATTTAATCGACTTTCATGTTAAGCAATAGTAATGACGGATAAAATAGAAAATAAGATTAAAGTCTAGAATTTCTGTAAAATCTGGTTAGTTTTTATAGGATAAAAATATTTTTTAAGGTATGTCGACACAGTACCCTCGAAAATACTACCCATGAAAGTAAATGCAATGTTCAACCTAATTATTTAGAGTAACTGTTACTTGAAAAATATGGATGCAAATATTGTACCTATGGAATCGAAACGAGACCTTCCTCCTGAAAAGCGAAACCCGTGAAGGTCCGGGTTAGAATATTGACCTTCAGTACCCGATGCTTGTCATAAGAGGCGACTAACGGGATCTGGTGGTCAGGCTCGCTGACTTGGTTGACACATGTCCTCTGTTCCCAATTGCGCAGATCGATGCTCATGTTGTTGATCACTGGATGGTCTGGTCTAGACTCGATTATTTACAGACCACCGCCATATAGCTGGAATATTGCTGAGTGCGACGTAAAACTGAACTCACTCACTCACTCACTCCTGAAAAGCGAAAGTTTTATAAGATTCCCCATCAGATACACAACTTCTAACTGAATAGAAAGGCAATGATGTCATCAAGACTGATTCGTTGTGTATGATGGTATTATCCAAATGAATAGTTGAGAATCAGAAAATAGAATCTTGGGAACAATGTGTGAAGCCCGTATCTTCTATGATATTGCTGGAATATTGCTGAAACCTTACACTCGCAGACAGAATCCGTGACGATCTATTCGCTTCATTATAACTATACCAAGTTATGTTCGAACCAAGTTTCGTTGAGGAAACACCTCTTGAAACGGGTTTGCTGTAATTCTCGTTGTATTGTAAACGCATTGGAAAACTACACCAGAGCAACGTCTTCAAAGACTTTAACTGACTGACTGAGTTTGGCTTTACGCCGCTTTTAGCAATATTCCAGCAATATCGCGGCGGGGGACACCAGAAATGGGCTTCACTCATTGTACCCATGTGGGGATTCGAACCCGGGTCTTCGGCGTGACGAGCCAACGCTTTAACCACTAGACTACCCCACCGCCCTCAAAGACTTTAAAGGTCAGAGACATATGTAGGCAGTATGAATGACACCGACGAGTACAGGCTATTCAACGGTGTCCTACATTCTGGTTTTATTAAGCTGATGATCATGATTGCAAGTCAGTACATGTACAGTGTCTGTGGCTGTCTATACTTGTGTCTGGAGTCAAATAGAAAATGTGTACAAAATACAGGTTTTGGAATTTGGAACTCCACTCATTGTTATTCACTGTTATTCACAGGGTAGTAACGCTGAGAGCATAAAGCTCCTATTCGACCTCATCCAAACCCCTCCGAAGAAGCTGATGCTGCTTGGACCGGTCATGCCCAAGATGGCGGCACATGTAGCTGAAGCTGCCACAGCCTGGAATTTACTACAGGTTAGTTTTAGCTACCACTGCGAATGCTATAGCTTAAGATTCTGAAACAAAATGGCGATATACGACATGTGCATGCGATCTCCGCTGTCGTTTAAACTGAATTATTCACAATTAAGGTGACTTAAGCGAAATCAGGATCTTGGCCATCCTCGATAATATCCAGGGTATACGTTCCGATACTAGTGGAGATTTATGGGAACGTATACCCTTGTGATTATCGAGGATCGATCTTGACTTGCTGAGTCAGAATCCAAGTTCATGTAAATCTTTCGCTCCAATACGACATTCTCTATGTGATATGTGACAGTTCCTATATAGAAGGTCGTGTAAGGTGGACTCAGAACAGTCTAAATTAAGGATGCAATAATACACAATAATCTTATGGTGCGGCATGTATTTATTAAATTAGGAACTGACGGTTTGTGAGTGTTTTGCTCACTCGGTGGAGTCTCTAGGCTGATAGGCTGATAGGCTGATTAGAGAGTTCACTAGGTGTGACCTGTCATGGAGGGTTGTCACATTATCAAGCGAGAAGATGTGTTGTCGGAATAAAGGATGTGATTTTAATAGTAGAATGTTTCAAACCATTTTGGAGGCCAGGGAGGACAAGTGGTAAAAAGTCAGAAGTTGTCTACGTTTGTCAACGGTGAACACGTTTACGCGTGCAATGAGTATAGGGAATGGCTCTTCGGTATGAACTAGATCAAATGGTTTCATACAAAATCTACCCGTACCAAACCCTAAGCTTTTGCAAGTGAGTCAGTGAGTTTAGTTTTACGCCGCATTCAGCAATATTCCAGCTATATGGCGACGGTCTGTAAATAGTTGAGTCTGGACCAGACAATCCAGTGATCAATAGCATGAACATCGATCTGCGCAATTGGGAACCGATGACATATGTCACTGACTGACTGCCTGAATTTGGTTTTACGCCGCTTTAAGCAATATTCCAGCAACATCACGGCGGGGGACACCAGAAATGGGCTTCACAAATCGAACCCGGGTCTTCGGCACATATGTCAACCAAGTCAGCGAGCCTGACCACCCGACCCCGCATTGCAGGTGACGTAGCACAACAAAACCACATCAACGTACACAAAGTCCATTCATGAATGTACTATATTCCTGAGACTAAATATTGTTCTTGCGTACTTGATGCGAGCTCATCCCCCATCGGACGGTTCCTTTGAGAAAAGCCGCCATATAGCTGGAATATTGCTGAGTGCGGCGTAAAACCTCTGAGAAAAACATCCTGCTTAATATGGTTGTATACACAGAGTTGGAAGACTACACCGTCGTATTTACGTTAAGATAGTCCTTTACCATGTACACACACGATTAACACCTTGACAAACAATTAACAATTGTTTAAGGTTGATGATTTAAAAAATAATGTTTGAGTATTTAAGCTGAGGTCAATGGCGAGTGACATATATGCGAGCTATTCATTGTCAGAATGAGCAAACTATCACATATAGGATTTGTTTGTTGCATAACGCCACACCCAGCAATATTAGAGCTATATGACGGCGGTTTATAGTCGAACCAGGACCAGACAATCCAGTGACTGACGTCATAAACACCGATCTTCGTAGTTGGGATTATTCGGTAGCATGTGACAACCAAGTCAGCGAGCATGACCGATCCCGTTAGTTGCGTCTTACGAACGACGCATTAAAGACGTCTGACCAGTTTTGCAATCATAATAAATCTACGCATTTGAAATGCACTTTAGACGAACGGCAGTTGTATTATCTAAACGAAATATCGTCTTTGTATCAGCAGGGCATACATAAACACAAACTGAATGTGTCAGTTTCACATAGGGAATTTAACCTAACTAGACAGTCATTTAGATAGATCTCAAATTATTATACGTGTCAAAAACAAACAACTATTCACGAGCCCTTAAAGCATCTGTATGTTTAGTTCTCGGTGTGAATCATTCACTCATTTCACCACCAGATGTCGTTCGGAGCTCGGACACCAGACCTCAACTGCCGAACTCGTTTCCCCTACTTCTACCGAACTCTGGGACCGGATCAGGTGTTCAACCCAGCCAAGGTGGCGCTCTTCAAACATTTCCAATGGAAACGAATCGCCTGTTTGTACGAAGACGACAAGTATCAAGTTTATTCAACGGTACGTTATCGCTGAAGGAAAGCCATCATTTACCCATGAATAAACACTGAATATTGAACAATATTTGGTAAGCATGGATTACGTATTGTAGAGTATCGGTATAACGTTCACATAAAGTAAGACATATTTTAGTAAGTACCAACTGCCAGCAGAGAAAGGTGATTAACGCCACAATAAAAAGCGAAATCTCCATGCGGGACATTTCGGCGGACCGCTGAATAATTTAGATTTTTCGGTGTGGACATGCTTGTACAATATGTTTGGGCTTTGGTGATTTTTTTTTCTTGGTTTGTTTTTTGGTTTTGTTGTTTTTTGCATAGGCAAGAAATGTATAAGCACCGTTAGCACATCGAGCGAAAATGACTGACATGGGAAGAAAGGAAATGTGCGTACGTACGTACGTGTGTGCGAGTTGGGGGTAAGGGCACGTACACTTACTTAACCATCCCTTAACCAAGAATAGTCTCGCCGTACTACAGATACGATAAGTCAGTGCTTGGTATATTTTAATGCGTTGTATGAGGTTGTCAGTTTAGCCTCACCACCAGTTCCATTTAGTCTTCTAATATTTAACGCATAGTGATGTTACTTAATTTTGGCCGTAGATCCCCAACGGGGATATAATTTTTTTTTTAAATTCTGAATATATTTTTACGGTGTGTAGTTGTACCCATGTTGACTATGTGGTTCACAATGTATGGAATATTTGAAGAACCGACCGACATGTTCCAAAAAAGTGCCAGTTAAAATTTCAGAAAGTTAATTGTTCCTGTATATTATACACGAGTTAACATTAACATATGGTATAAAAAAAAATAATCTGTATTTTTTTACAAAAGCAACTCGACTGAGTGTAAAAGGCAAAATAGTGTTAAATAAATGAAATGATGACTGAAATCCGTGATAACACTAGGTGTGCACGAAATGCATCTATAGATACCTTGGTATACCAACGGTGCCGTGTAGTGGGGAAATGGACAAAAGCTGCATTAGATCTTGATGTATCAGAACAGGATGAGACTATGTTACCTTATCTTGCTGAATTATGCACCGTCAGTAAGATCCATGCTCTAACAAAATGGCAACAAAGATGGACCTCGTCCTTTAAAGGACGTCATCTGTGTGGCATTGAGCCTTTTCTTTCTAGGTTGCACGTATCTCGAAACAATCGGAGGGAAGAGGTTGTTTTAACGAGTCTTCGTCTTGGGCATTGTGGTCTTGGAGCATATCTTAGTATCAATAATAAAAAATTGCCTGCCGTATAATGTCGCGCATTATTTACTGCATTGCCAAAAATATGTAAACCAACGTAAGGCGATGGTGGAATCTCTTACAGCTCTCAATATTGACATCTCATTGGCTGGACTGTTGTGCTCAAGGAATATCGTTCGCCATGAAGTTCAGAATGTTATTATGATTATATTAAAGCGTGTGGCAGCTTTACTTACTTAAAACAAGTTTAGAAACTTAGCAAACTTTTATGGTGGGCAAGGTGTAAACGGGCCTAGTTGCCCGAACACCTATTAAACATTTAATGACCAATCAATCAAGGGGGAACTGTTGTCAAAAAACACATACAGATACACCAGAAGCTAAAGAAACTGATTGGTTATTGATATACATCAACGTTAATTATATCCTGTGTATTCTTGATAATGTTTAACGTAGCTTCAATAGGCAATGGGTTTTTTTTGTTTTGCTTCTAAAAATAATATTGATCAGAACAAAAGATGCGTTGATACATTGCACTCAAAACATGAATGATAAATGTATTACCACTTCGAATGCCTGATTAATGTTTGACGTAGCTTTTTTAGGCAATTTTTTGTTATACTTTTTATCAGAATGTAAGGTGTGGCGTTGATATGGTGAATTCAAAACATGCATGATAAATGCATTACCATCTGAGATTGAAATCAACCCGATGACGTGGTGATAGACTGGATGACACGGTTATGAAATATGATGACCCCTTTTTCAGTTATGTAGAGGCCGCCTGCCGTGTTTCACATCATTCTTGTGAGTTGGTATGTGGTCATCAATGGTAATAACCACAATGTATAGGACAAGCAATCGATCAACCGTGAAAACATCATGCAATGGTGATGAATCAGCTTGCTATTGAGCGATGAATTTCAAACGTGACAAAAAGTAAGAAGCAGTAATTATAAGTTAGACCTCCAGGCATTGGTGTCTAATCGTAGAAATGTTCAGCTAAAGACCGCACCCATGGCGTGGCGCCTCGCGCTCAAACTAACCATTTTAACTAATAGCCTTATAGATCTTTTCATACAAAAATGGCATTCAGTAATTGAAGCATCATCAAAGGGTAGATTTGATAAGATTGTAAAAAAAAACAATACTGATATTGACTTTTATTTGCAACACCTGCCTGAAAATACATATTCAAATTGTTACAGTTTAATCTGTCAAATCATCGTCTTCTGGAAAGTGGAAGATGGTTCAATATTGATTATAATTGTAGAGGAAGATGGTTCAATATTGATTATAATTATAGAAAATGTACATTGTGCACCTTAAATGTAATAGGAGAAGAGTACCACTACCTTTTTTTAATTGTCAATATTTTAACGAAATAAGAAAAAGGTTTATCCAAAAAAATGTCATTACAAAGCCTTCCATATTAAATATGATTAATTTACTTCAGACAAAAAAATGTATCCACTTTAATAAAATTATCCATATTTTGCCACCATGTGCTATGTAGATTCAGATAAATACTCCATCATCGTGTTATTCATGTTTATGATATCAATGTATGTACTTAACCATGTATACACCCGTATGTAATTATTATATATCTCTTGTATACCTCACCATGCTACATTGTAGCCTTGAGTGAATAATACATGCAGTTCAAGATCAATTGGACACCAATGGCTGGGTGATCTCACCTACAGTAAACGCCAAAAGAAACGTTACCCTCCTGCCTTAGTGACGGAGGTACCTATCTTCAGCTGGCGTTGTGATGCGTGGACGTCCACTTCTTGGTCTGTCTACGGTGACCCCAGTCTGACTGAAGCCCTGAATAAGTCTTATAACCGTGATACGATGGCATGCGAGGGCGTTGGCAACAACATTGTACGTCGACCCCATCTGCACCATCCCAATGGCTCTTTCTCTCTCTTCAGCTGTTAATCGTGGCATATTTCTCGTAATTGTGTATCATATCATGTATTCTAGGCTCTCTTCATACCCTGTAGAATCATTCCACATGTGAAATGGATGCAAATACTGCTTGAATAGTGCTGCGTTTTGGCGATTGATATTGCTATATGTACACAGAAAATGGGAAAATGTTACTTTGCAAGCAAAAATGTTAACAAAGATAATTTTAGATGTTCCTAAACACTTTTTCACAATACCAAAGACTCGTTTTACTTGTTTCACAAATACAAATCGACAGAAAATGTTTTGAAAGACTGGAATCATAGGAATGATTATTTTACACACTCTACAACAGTTGTTTCTTGTTTTAATAGTTGAAAAATGGTGACTTTAAATGGTTTATCTTTGTCTCAAAACAGAATTACATTTCAGTTTTTTCAGTAATTCATGAAGGTAGGAGGGTAAAGTTTCTTTTGGCGTGTAGTGTGTAATAACAACACCCACAGCAACTAAATGCCTAAAGACTTTCCTCATTCGTAACTGCTCGTGTAAGTGAGGAAAAAGAAGTAGATATTTGTTTTTGATATTGTAGCGCTTTGAGCATAATTTATGTATGGCATTCAGCGCGATATAAATACACATATTATTATTTATTTTTTGTTGGATCAGGCGAAGAGTCACTTCATGGATCTATGGAAAGCTGACGGTAATGAGATTGTGGCGTCTGAGTGTATAACAGACACTGGTGCTTCTCTGGACATACTTAAGGTATACATCGACATACCCCAATACGTTTCCTGCCCAGTTGTTTTAATTATATGTGTATTAGTGTACAACGAGGTGACCAGCGGAAACATACATACTCCAGATTTGACGTATAGTAAATATATACTCTTCAAAAAGAATATTCTTCACCACTTGCACTTCCTTATGACCAAGACCGCCTCCGTGGTGTAGTGGTTAGACCGTCCGCCCGGAGAGCGGAAGGTCGCGGATTCGATCCCCGACCGCGTCATACCAAAAGACGTTAAAATATGGTACTTGTTGGTCCCTGCATGGCGCTCGGCATTAATGGGTACAACAAGGGCTGGTCGGCTCGGAGTCAGTATAATGTGTCTGAGTGGGGTATTCATGCTTCACTGCGGCATGGTATCTCAGTGGGCTAGCACTATAAAACCAGCTTAAGTCTGGGCTAGTACAAGCAGCCGCACATACACATACACATGCATGCACGTCGTCATATCAGCGAAATATTCTCAAGTACGACGTTAAACCCAATTTCACCTCACCTCACTTTATGACCATAGTTGTTTTAAAGTAATCGCTCTTGAAAGATGACTGGTGTATGACCCGAAATTTGCATGTGTACTATCTTCATTTTCTAACAAAAACCGGCTAGAAACAAACAATAACAACTGTGTGATGCAAGATGATTGTCAAAATTAATGGTCTACAGTGGTTTATAGACCTTCTTGAAAACCGTCAAAATCAAGAATGACACTCTATGCACGTGTAGCGGGCTACTGCGTTGTGCACGTGCGTCCCATGCGTTGTGTTTAGGGGTGGTGATAAAGAGAAATGGTGGTGCGTTCAAAAGATATCTGTCTTTGAAAAGGTTTTTAACGCTTATGTACTTCCTATCCAAATTGAAAGTTCAGGTTCCCCTACTTTTTTTAAGAGTACATGTCAGATGTAACCAGTGATGCGAACTGCATTGTGTCTAAGATATATTCTGGCAATCCCAAGAGAGTGATTCGTTTGTTTGTTGTTTAACGCCGCACTCAGCAATATCCCAGCTATATGGCAGCGGTCTGTAAATAATCGAGTCTGGACCAGACAATCCAGTGATCATCATCATAAGCATCGATCTACATGGCTTGCTGAATATCAATTCTAACGCGGCTCTTCCAAACCTTTGAAATATATTTAAATATATTTCTGTGTTCCTACGTTCATAATTTATTAGGCATAGATATGTTACAGAGTTGTTACAATTAATTAACCACAATGAATTGTAATGTTTTCTTTTAAGCAACGTGATGCCCGGGTAATCGTGGCCAACATACCAGTCAGCAAAGCCAGGCAGGTGTTCTGTGAGGTCAGTCTGCGCTGAAACATATACAGAGCTTAACATTTTCTGAACATGACACAAATACTAGTAACAATATTGACAATGAAATCAGTGTGTCGACATCATGAATTGGTGGAAAGTTTAAATTAGGAAGACAATGATGTTAAAACGACCCACGTCCATGTTTTACTTTAAATAACGTAGATACATACGATAGGTGAATGAGAGAGTTTAGTTTTACGCCGCACTCAGCAATATTCCAGCTATATAGCTTCTGTGTGTAAATAATCGAGTCTGGACCAGACAATTCAGTGATCAACAACATAAGCATTGATCTACGCAATTGGGAACCGATGACATGAGTCAACCAAGTCAGCGATCCTGACCACCCGATCCCGTTAGTCGCCTCTTATGACAAGCTTGGGTTAATGAAGATCAATTCTTACCCGGATCTTCACGGGTAGATAGATACGATGAGTATGAGTCGCATTTAGACGTTGGAGTAGTAAAGAAGGATAAGATATATATGGATTGTAATAATATTGTAAAAATGGATTTGTTCACCAATGTATTGTAAATTTCCTTGACATAAATATTTAGGTACATATAGTAATAATATACCCGTGTTATGAAAATTACTGGCTGTAAATTAGTTTAGGATGTTCAGACGAACAAACATTTAATTTATTATGATCAATTGTTTTTTGTCCTGGAGAGTGTATTGATCAAATGCAATGTTCCTCCAGGCATATACACGGGGGATGTGCGGGAAGAAGTACGTGTGGGTGATGCTGGGGTGGGAGGCCGGCAGCTGGTGGAACGACCCCTCCCTCCCCTGCAACTGCACGGCCGAGCAGATCAAGGTGAGATGAACAGTACTGTTTTCTCAATTGTCTCAGTTGCTGATAATCAATAAAAATGCTGATATCATACTCATAATAGGTCGTAGAATGAGTGAGTGAGTATGATTTTACGCCGCTTTTAGCAATATTCCAGCAATATCACGACGGGGGACACCAAAAATGGCCTTCACACATTGTTCCCATCTGGGGAATTGAACCCGGGTCTTGGGCCCGACGGGTGAGCGCTTTAACCACTAGCCTACCCCACCGCCTCTGGCCGTAGAGTAATCCCAGAGATAACATCAAATTGGTATAACATCAGGTATTAATGGAGTGAGCGTATCCTGCACCACAAAAAGATCAGAAATCAGTGGATGTATTTCGAATTTTATGTTTCAATCTTTTACTGAAATGTATGGTTTGTGCCATTAACGATTAACGGCGCAGTGAAGTCTCAATGAATAGTGGGTGGGTTTAGATTTACGCCGCTTTTAACAATATTCCAGCACTACCACGGTGGCTGACACCAGAAAAATAGGGACACACACATTGTACTCATGTAGGGAATCGAACCCGGGCCTTCGGCGTGAAGAGCTAACGCTTTAACCACCAGGCTACCCCGCCGCCTCCTCAATGAATAGGGGCGGTTCCTAATTAGGCCTTATAGTATATGTAAAAAATTTATGTTACTGAGCATTTTTATTGTTACAGCGATTAACCGCTTATTGCCACGATTCGTGATTTTAAATACAAACCCGTGTCTGAAGAGTGAGTGAGTTTAGTGTTATGTCGCTATTAGCACAACTACAGCGACAACACGGCGGAGGACACCAGAAATGGAATTTCGTATCTGAAGAAGAAAAGAATGAAAAGAACAACGATATTTTTTAAGACCACAGGGGTGACAATGTTTTCTCGTCTTATGTCTACGTTGCAAGACGTATGTACATGTGCATAGTGACATTTCTAGGATTGTAGGCATGGATTCTCCTTGAGTAGTTAGTTGTGCTGACCAAAACTAAATTGTCACTGGTACCACGACTACATTCTTCAACTGATATTTGTCTCCTGCAGGAGGTCACTGACGGCATGATAATGATGGACTTCATGCACAGCGATGTAGGAACACAGGAGGCATTTGACGTGGTAAGGCTCGCGCGGAGGGATGCAACGGTTTACACAACAACGTGTATTTTAGTGACGTGATGTATTATCATATTAATACATTCAGTGTGACAGTATCTCATTCCTCAACAAACAGTAATTCATTCCATTTGACGTGTTATATTGTAAGAAAGTAAATATATAACACAACCAGTTGGTTTTCATCATTTAAATAATAATATATTTTGGGGAAAATGACAGTTGAAACGTTCTGTGGATGTTGTGATAATCTAAATCAAAAGGAACTTAAAGAATTCCTTAACTAAATGTCGTTCGATCTTACTTTCACACTTTTCACATTTGCATTTTGTCCTACAGAATCCGACTGATTTCGAAGCATTCATACGCCAGAAGTCATCCCGTTACGACAAGTACGCAAGCTACGCCTTCGATGGGGCCATGAGCCTGCTATTGACTCTCGACCAAGCGGCAAAGGAAAACGTAACTCTTGAGACCTTCTGCTACAAGAACGAAACGTATGTGCGTACGTTCACCCGTATCATGTCGGATCTGGTGTTCTATGGACTTACGGTATGTATGAAATCTCGCGGCACTTAGTTTAACGTTCATTTGAAATCAGATAACGTAAATATAAAGGTAGTAATGACAAGGTGAATCGGTGCAGTCTGAAGGGGAAAAGGAAGAATGGCGCGTGTTGTTTCCACGTTGTTTTGTGCCGCAGTCTGTGATATGCTAGATGTCAAATGGCGACATTATGATAATCAGGCTAACCAGAGAATGACGTTTTCAACCACGACACAAATCAGTCACACCACTCTTAGAACAACTATATGTTCATATAGAATCACAATGCATTGCATTTTCTAGAAATGTCATTTCAATGACGAAATTCCTGAAAAACGCTAGACATGATAATGTAAAACGGAACAGACAGTCTCGAGGAAATATATTCTATTGGGCCCAAAATAACGGTAAAATGATATTCACGGATCACTGATAACTAGTGATGATTCCAGACGTTCTCGGAGAGGGTAGGCCTGCGCCTGCGCTGTACTGACTCACCAACCCCGTTGAAGTACTACACCAAAGTCCAACTTAAATACAAATCAAATTCACGCTTGAGTATATCAAACTAAGATACCATAAATTACGGAATATATCGGGGTGTGGTGGGGGTGTTTATGGAATCTGACATGTAGATTGTTTGTGTATTAATTACAATACCAATACTTGTACTCCTGGCATTGTTTCAGGGTAAAATAGCTTATGACAATAAAGGGAACAGAAAGGGGCACACTTCCATCACGCAGCTACAAGGTGAGTCCCATCTCCATCAGTCATCCAACAGTAGTTCCTTGTGACTAACAACAGAACATGTTGCTTCATCCCTTATGTCCACCAACAGTACAACATGATCTATTTCATATGTCCACCAACAGTACAACATGTTCTATTTCTTATGTCCACCAACAGTGCAACATGGTCTATTTCTTATGTCCACCAACAGTACAACATGGTCTATTTCATATGTCCACCAACAGTGCAACATGCTCTATTTCTTATGTCCACCAACAGTACAACATGGTGTATTTCTTATGTCCACCAACAGTACAACATGGTCTATTTCTTATGTCCACCAACAGTACAACATGGTCTATTTCTTATGTCCACCAACAGTGCAACATGGTCTATTTCTTATGTCCACCAACAGTGCAACATGGTCTATTTCTTATGTCCACCAACAGTGCAACATGGTGTATTTCTTATGTCCACCAACAGTGCAACATGGTCTATTTCTTATGTCCACCAACAGTGCAACATGGTCTATTTCTTATGTCCACCAACAGTGCAACATGGTCTATTTCTTATGTCCACCAACAGTGCAACATGGTCTATTTTTTATGTCCACCAACAGTGCAACATGGTCTATTTCTTATGTCCACCAACAGTGTAACATGGTCTATTTCTTATGTCCAACAACGATGCAATGTGTTCTATTTTTTAGTCCAACAATAGTGCGACATGTTTTATTTCTTATGCCCAACAACTGCACAACATGTTTTATTTCTTAGTCCAACGATAGTGTGACATATTTTATTTCTAAGTCCAACAATAGTGCGAAATGTTTTATTTCTTAGGCCATCAATAGTGCGACATATTTTATTTCTTAGTCCAACGATAGTGCTACATATTTTATTTCTTAGGCCATCAATAGTGCGACATATTTTATTTCCTAGCCCAACAATAGTGCGATATATTCTATTTCTTAATCCAACAATAGTGCGACATATTGTATTTCTTAGTCCAACAAATGTGCGACATGTTTTATTTCTTATTACCACAAACAGTTTATGACATGATTGATACCTTATGTCTAACAACAGTGCAACACGTTTTATATTGTATTACCAACAAGTGTACTGTATGTATGTACATTTCACACACCCGAAAATAGTTTATCCTTCCCGTTCTCATGTGTGCGTGCGTGCGTGCGTACATGTGTGTGTGTGTGTGTGTGAAGAACAATATTAATTGTTATATTCTGTATGTCCAACAGCACCATGTGTTAAAATAATGTATAATAATTTAGTAATAAGAATCATTTGATTGTTTCTACAACACAAATGTAATCCCAAATTGCACCTGTGAAATATGACTATACCTTGTCTTTCATTAATGTAATGGTATTCTGCCAGTGTTGTAGAATGTAATTGTCTACTCAGTCATTGTAAAAACAGCCCCGGAAATACACCAGTAATTACGCCAATCCTTCTATCGCATCGGCTTACTGTTTTTCCATGTACCAGTAAATCAGCGTCTGTTGTTATCTGTCAGGGGCGTAGCTACCATTATAAAAACAGCCCGGGCTTACACATGATTGTTGCTAAAAAGGTTGGGCAAGTCCTCAATACTGTCTAAACTAAAAGCTTTGCAGCCTTTCGGGCGTACACGAAAAAAATTGGCTTGCTACGCGCCTGTCTATTGACGACTTTGCTTCTGTAATAAGTTTTCTCTCTGAGATCTGTATATCAACTTGAAATATATAAACATAACAGGCTAGCGCTGCTAAAGTAAAGTCTCTGACCAAAAACTACTACGTCTATTTTCTTATATATTTGTCATATTTTACCGACGACTGTTTATTTGTGCGGATTCTTGTTTGGTTTAAATGACAGTCAAGTCGAAAATTATCGAACAGAACCTCAAACAATTTATTCAATTTATTTTAGTCCCCCTGGTTAAGTGAATCCCCGAATTCAATTTCATATCACTACTTACGCCAGGGGAAGAAAGGAAGCGGATCGGGAAGTATTGTCCTTTTGACAAGAAACTGACGCTGTATGACGACTCTCCCATTAAGTGGAAAGGTAAGTAGTATTTCTTTATTGAGACACTGTTCATATATGTATCTGCGTGTCAGTAGATACCTTATTATTTTTAATAATAGGTAAATTATGTCAATGGCTTATGAAATGCACACAGGCGGTCACATTTTGTAAGTGTCGAAGCATGCTTTTCTCCACTCTGCTACCATTTCGTCAACTCGACTGCTATTTGAAATAAAACAACTGTATTAAATATTAGATCATTTCAGACACCACAGGGCTAACGTTTTTGCCTAAACTCGAATATCACTTGATAGACTGGATCAAATTTGCCGGTTTGGCTTATGCTGACACAACCTGACAGTGTCGATATGGATGCCTCAGACTGCATATATCCGGGTTAGAACTGATCTCCAACCACCCATGCTTGGCGTTAGAGGCGACTTACGGGATCGGGTGGTCGCTGACTTGGTTGGCACATGTCATCTTATCTCAGTTGCGTAGATCGATGCTCATGCTGTTGATCACTGGATTGTCTGCCCAGATTCGATTATTTACAGACAGCAGCCATATAGCTGGAATATTGCTGAGTGCGGCGTTAAACAACACACAAAACATATCCATGAATATGTTTTATGTCAGCTGTCATTTGATCGTCTGACTTTGACTTCAAAATTAAAATTGAAATAATGTCTGTTACAATTAGCGTTTAGGGTAATAACTGCAATATCTATGAGTTAATGTTCTTTCTGAACCTTATAAGGTGATCTATATAGTGTGTGAGACGTATTTTGAACACATTTATTGTAAATAGCGTCATGGCTTTGAAAATGCGTACACGCTGAATAAAGAGTTTAAAACGTTTTTGATACAGGAAATGGCATTCCAAAAGATGGATTCTCGCGCGAGACTCGAACACAGCGCCTACCATATGGGGTGCTCGTTACATACATGTGTATAGGGATAGTTGGCACGCTGGTCTGTGTCGGGTTCCTGATCTTCAACATCAAGAACAGAAAGCATGGGTAGGTAGTTATAATAACTATATACTTTGAACATAGAATATATATACATGTATGGGGGATAAGGGATCACATGAAAGCACAAGTGTTCCTTTATTGTTTCCAGGTTTCTTCACAAACTATCCCATACAAAGCTTCTGTAGAAACCTAGAAAAAAAAATAAAGGAACACTTGTGCTTTCATGTAATCCCTTATTTTTTTCCCTTAGTATATTAACTGTGTGACTTGAATCTATGGATGTCGTTGAAATAATATCTATGAAAATATTTTGATGTAAAACGAATGTTATGACCAATTCCTATTTCTGAGGTCTTTGGTACGACAGGAAGTAGCAAACTAGTTGGGTCATCTCCTACTGCAATAGAGAAGTCTGGGTTAACTATATTGGCTCAATCATTTCAATATTACCAACGATTTGTTTCATGAATATTTAGCAACATTTTACAGGGCACGTGAAGCAACATAATAAATATATTCCTTCCAAACGGCGCATTTGTTTGAAGTTGGGTAGACATTCAGGTAATGTTTTGTTTTATCTATATGTATTCTATGTTCAACTGGCCTTGTAATGACCCTTCATTGATTATTATTAATCATGTTTGTGCAAAACACGATGTAGCCAACGAACATTCGACAAATCAGCCAAATTGCCCTCATGAATGCGGTGTACTGTACCATGAATGCGGTGTACTGTAACAAAAGGGCGGGCCCTCTCCAGTGCAACAAGGGTACTCAAGGTCAGGCCGGGGGTCAAGGTCATTATATCAGACGTGAGAGAATTTATAACGGATGTTGAAACCGGTGACATTGATCGGTGAAGATCTCGGTTATAATTTGTTTTCAGTGACCCATGCTTGTCATAAGAGACGACTTACAGGATGTGGCGTGGTCATCCGAATTGCGTAGATCGATGCTCACGGTGTCAATCACTGGAGTGTCTGGTTCAGACCTGGTTAATTACAGACCGCCCATGTAAAGTTGGAATATTGCTGAGTGTGGCGTTAAACAACAAACAAACATCGACGACACCACCAGACACAATGTAGAATTGTAAATGTCGACAGTCATTATGACAGAATGACTATATGAGGTATTCGCGAAAAGGTCAGCGTATCCTGCACCGCCGGAGGCACTCGTCATAAACACATGCAGCGGAAAGTCACCAAAAATGTAATATTTGTGTGCAAGTCAAAAGCAGAACTGCAACGGACATCATTTTGGTCAGTGCACATGTTCCGGTACTGGCCGAGTATCTTGACATGTAGTCAGCGATACCAAGTGCTCCGAGTTAAACGAAGTTCCATTATTGTGTTGTGTAGTTTCGGATTGTTTTGAAATGTACTGTTTGGGTTTTTTAAAGATAGAATCTATTTCAAAATGAAATGTATCCTATACATGTCATCACAGCTTCAAATGCTATCTCCAAGACGTACCAGGACAAAAAAACTGCTCTAATTAACTAATTTCTATTCAAGAAATAATGACTTACAGAGATATCTATAATTATATATATTACCAGAAATCGTTTCGTACCTGCTGTAAACAGATACTGCTTTCAATACGTCAATATTTTGACCAAGGGTATAATTTGCTTTGATGTGTATGGTCATTGACGCTGAATATCTATTTCCAGCCAAATCAAACTGTCCGCGCCCGTTATTAACGATGTCCTGCTAATTGGGTGCATGATGGCCTATGGCGCCCTGATCCTCTATGGCGTGGACGGCAGAGTCATCGTACCACAGAACCTTGGCCTTCTTTGTAATGTGAGTCTGTGATAGTCGTCGATTTATTGGAATTCTTAAAAGGTTCAATTAGGAAGGGTTTGGTCACCTAGTGACCAAATCGTTCGCTCGTCACACCGTAATCCCCATATGTGTACGGGCCGATGGGGTAACCTAGTGGTTAAAGCGCCCGCTTGTCACGCCGAAGACCCGGGTTCGATTCCTCACATTTTATTAAGAATATCAAAAATGGTGAAAAGAGGTAAAATTGCAGTATTTGAAAATCTTT